AACAACAACAACAACAACAACAACAACAACAACAACAACAACAACAACAACAACAACAACAACAACAACAACAACAACAACAACAACAACAACAGCAGCAGCAACGACAACAGCAACGACAACAGCAACGGCAAAATCTACGCGTACGGCAACGAACTCACCTTCACGGGCTTCCCCTCCGACCCCGCTGCCGAGGGCAGGGAGCGGATCGACTTCGTGCACCTAGGCATCCCACCGGTGACGGCCGAAGAGGAAGACGCGGCACCGGGAGAACACGACCAAGTCAGGGACATGGTGCAAGGATACGGCGTGCTGCCGAATCGGTTCGACGACAAGGTGTGGATGAGCGACCACCGCGGCGTGGTCGTAGATTTGCTCGTGAGATTCTAATGTGAGCAGCCAGCGAGCGAGTGTATGGCTTCTTGCTGTTCAGGGAGGGAGAGAGGGGGGAAGGGAGCGGTGGAAGGAGCTAATCGTATAATGGACTCGAGAGGAGGTGTGCTTCGACCTCGACCTCGAACCCGCCCTCGCCCTCGCCCTCAGACTCATGACTTTGAAGAGCGTGCCTCCAGCGGACAACTAGCACAGCACAGCACAGCACAGCACAGCAGAATGGGACCCATGAATCCCCCTTGCGATGGGGCAGGGGGGAGAGGCATTTACCAGGTCTGGTTTGGAGAGTGAATCCAAGTTGCCCCCTCTCCCTTCCCCTCAAAAAAAAAAATTAAAAACAAAACACATTGATGGACTGGATTGTTGGATTTAACTGTTTGGGACTGGATGGGGCTTTGATTACATCCGCGTTCAGACATACCAAGGGGCTAATACATACGTTTGGATCTGAGAACGGGGGAGAGAGAGACCGTGAGAGACCGCAAGATGGATGGGTGGATGGATGGATGGATGCGCATGGCTAATAAACAGATAGACCCCTACATAGGTAGGGTACAGAGTAAGTAGATGGATAGATATGGAGATATGTAGAAACCATCTCGTCTCAATCTCTCATCTCAGTTCATGTCAACCTATTCTCTCCCATGTACGCCGGGTTAAATAGATATCCCTACCCTCATGGCTGCTTGGTTAGTTGGTTAGTTGGTTAGTTGGTTCTATTGCGGACTCGAACAGAACAATATGCATGGGTGAGACGCCTTCTCGATACTCAGCTGCCTTGTCTCGTCTTTCTCCATTTCGACCCGTTTATATAGTACAAATTCTCTCCCTTAGGATATACACTTGTAGATGCTACGGGGAGATCAGATTTGTGGGATGCCCTGCTCGTTTCCTACTCCTCTCCTCCTTTGGAGCCATGGGGTCTGATAATCTGAACATGGGGAATTCTCAGCCTTCGGACACGCCGCTTTTTCTCCTTCTCCTTCAATGCACGAAGCGGAGATCTTCTCGCAACTGGAAAAGCTGCCCCGAGGGCCTTTCCGTTCCACTGTGCTCCGTACTGAGGAGAGCTTTGAGCCCTAACAGCGTTGTTTCGTTTCGTTCGAGGTCTCCTTCTGCCAACATCGCCCTTTTCTTTGGTTTCCCTGGACAAACATCATCCAGGGGGGCCTGGCGTACCTTACTGTGCAACAAGCATGTTCTTCACCCTCACCCAATAATCTGGATGCACATGCTCCTCCACCTCATCTTTACTCAACCATTTGAAATCTTCAATCTCATCCAGTCCCATATCTACGAAGACACCCTTTTTATCCTTAGCCTCACCCTTTTCCAGGCTTGGAGCGTTACTATGCGTCAGTGCCTTTGCCTTTTCCATGCTGGGATCGGAATGGGAAGTAGAGTATGAGACGTCGGCTTGGCCAGCCATGATCCGCGCTTTCATGAAGAATGTTTTTTCACCGTCGACTATGGTCTGTGTTGCGGCAAGGTCTTGCTTGAGGGGTGTCGACTCATTAGCCCCTTCAACGTCTGTCGTTGCTGTTGACAGTGTTGACGATGGAGATTCTGAAGCTCCTGACGACGATCCTCGGATGTACAAAGGGGGCGAAGATGGAGCCTGGAGTGGTGAGGAGAAGCGTGCCACGTAGTGGCCAACAGGGTGGTTGCCAACAAAAAAGGTGTTCATGTTAGGGCCTAGTGAGCTGAAGAGAATGCGTTGCGCGGCCTGCATTCGACGTGAGGTTTTGGTTAGCTCTTAGCCTCACCCAAGCGCGCGAAGAGCTAAAGGATACCGAAACAATTTGTGTTCACTTACCTCTTTCAATCCTTCAAAACCAACAACCGGCCCAGAGGGAAACTTCCATAACCATGTTTCACTGTTCTCATCCGCCGCCTTCTCTTTTGCTTGCCCGCCCTTGTTCTTTAACTTGACCAACAGGTACAATGTCCTCTGCAGCCTCCTCTCAAGGCTCCTCTGATCGTTCTTCTCATCCGCCTCCGTATGCCTTCTTAGGCCTGCAAACCTGGGGTCCCCTTTCCCAGTGAACTCATCAGCTCTGCCCTCTTCGGAGACGAGCTGCTCTAAAATCTTCTCCGGCTTCCCGGTCTCATCGTCGACCAGGACTTCATCATTCCACGCGTCCGGACTGTACGCGTTATACTTCCCGATGTCGCGCGTTGCGGCGCCGCCTCGCTCGCGGCGGTGTTTGCGCCAATGTTCAAATGCGGGCGTGTTGCGGCGGTAGTAGAAGTACTGCGTGAAAGGTAACACGAGGCGTTCGTTCAGACGACGTTGATAGAGATGAAAGGCGGTTTCGAAGGGGTGAGGGTCTGGCGTGATCAGGGGCGGGCGAGAAAGGACAATCCCGGCTTTGATTGTGTAAAGTGGTTGTGGCGACAGGGACGCTTCAGGCCCTGACGAGGACAGTTGGGTGATAGACGGAGACTGCGATTCAAGGCTGGCTTTGGCGGTTGCTGCAGACGCATAGGTCCGTTTCGATAGAGTCTGTAGACATGAAGGACAGACGTGGTGGATTGGCGGAGATGCTGGGGAGAGGTGTCAGCTTTGCCATTAGTCCATGTCCGAGCCCGAAGAGCATACCGAAAATATCAGCGACGCGCCGTGCACCCCTGGATCGAGGAGACATTTTTCCAGGTCTCTCCCACTCACCACAAACACTGTTGCTGATCGCTGGAAGCTCGATTGTCCAGCTCTTCAGGGCTTCGAAAAAGTTCGGGGGAGCATGAGGATCGAGAACAAGGCGGAACCAAAAGGGCAAGTTTTCCGGGCTTCGCTATAATTGGTTTTTTTTTTTCCCTCCCACTCCTCCAACACCATCGCTCCGTTTGTTCCTGGCCTTGTATGTAATGATGGTCGTGATATTCGCCCGCGGTATGTGTGCACAATGACTAGAATTCGAACGGGCAGAGCTTGCTCACTCTTCTCTCCCATCGCAACTCGCACGGAGCAAGGGTTTTCATACATTTGGTCGAAACCCATCTATGGAAAATACGAGCTGCTCTCAGCTGGAACCTGAAAGTATAAGACCTACGGCACTCAATCCCTATCATGAACTGCTTTGTCTCCATGGCTTCTTCATCATCATATGGTGCCCAGAACGAATCAATTCCCGAGGGGAGTCTTTTTTCGCTAGCAGGACCGATCTATCTTCCGTATACAGGTACTGTTAGATAGTTACTCCCTACAATGGACGCATGTGAAATGGTTGGTTGGGGACTTCAGTCACCGCCCTTGAGAGATTCTTGTCTAAGACTGCGACCTCTTTGTACTTTTTGTAAGACTGCCGACAAGAGGAGACTTGGGCGATTCCCTCCTCTTCCCACTCTGTCTACTTTCTATTTGCGTTGTATGAATCACTATGTCAATCACTATATGGGAACCATCAATGGACACATGACACTGGCTCCTCCATCCACGACCATGTTTGCCCCTGTGATGTAGCTGCTAAACCCCGAGGCCAAAAAGCCAGCAACCCTACCAACCTCTGCTGGGGTCCCCGCCCTTTCGAGTCCAATGTTATTCTTTTGCGCCGTTGAGCCTTGAAGAGCTGCAGGGGGCAACTGTGTATTATACCCCATCAAGGTACCTTTTGCATCGAACCCGTTGAGGCTAACCCCAACATCGATCTGTCCGGGAGAGATGGCATTGATGCGCACGCCTGTCCCTTTTAGGACCGCGACACCCGAGCGGACGACGCCAAGGGCAGCGTGGCAGCTCATTGTAAAGCACGGTCCCCAGCATCCTCCATACGTGCTCGCCGTAGACGTCACAACAATGATACTTCCATAGCGCTGATCTTTAGGCGCTGCGTTAGGATAGTTCCCTTTTGATGTAGTCTTCTGCATCGCATGGGGCGCGTATTTCAAGGCGAAGAACGGCGCAAGACTGTTTGCCTCGAAGCATTTCTGCAGATCTTGCGGCGTAGTCTGGTCGATTGAAGGCGGGCCCAGCAGGCCAGAGGAACAGACCCAGACGTCGAGGCGGCCCCAGGCGTTCAGAGCTTCGTCAATGAGGACGAGCGTGTCTTGTTCGGAGGAGATGGAGTAAGGGTAGGAGATGACCTTGGTGTTTGGGTAGAGTTTGGAGAGATTCGATTGAAGGCTAGAAGGCTGGTCGGTTGCGGTACATGCGTATATACAAGCTGCGCCGTGTGCTGGGGATTGTTGCCATGTTAGCCTCGAGGGTTCAATCTGGTTGCAGAGGATTGAATACCGGCCAATTCTGTCGCAATGGCAGCGCCAACTGGCATGTCCGCGCCGGTGACGACGCAGACGAAGCCATAAAGTTTCCCATCTGCTCGGTATGGGGAGAAGTGATCTGATTCTTCCTGCAGAGTCATTGGGTCAGGCATGGCGAAGGTTTCAAGCGTGGACAAGGAGAGGCAAGGGAAGTCAGATGTTTGATGAGCAAAGACAGTATCTCAAGCCGGGCTGATGCACACCGTTAGCCCTGGTCACACGAGAGAAAAAGGGTCAACAAGCAGAATCATCCAGGTGGAACTTAGTATGACGCTTGCGTTCATCGAGGCGGCTGTGGCCACCGGCAAGCCTCGAGCAAGATCGTCCCACTATCAGCCCAATCATGATAGAAATGATTTGGTTGCAGCTTTACAGAGTGTTTTGAGTGATGGCAACCTGCTTCTCCGCGCAGATGCAAGATCCAAGCTTGGAAGCCCGGATCCGTTAGCGCGGATGATAAGGCTTCGTTATCCGCCTCAAACTATTGGCTTGTTTCTGACGTCAGGAATACCAGTAGAGAGAACATGCTCCCCCATCTCAAGGACGTTCTTTCCAGGACGAGGTGCGGACTATTCCTGCATAAACAGCTCAAAAGATACCATGCCTCAAGGCACCATGTGTCATAGTTCTCATTGCAATTGCCCCATGCACTGTGCCTCCGAGCCATGCTCATTCAGCAGATTCACTGGTTTCGTAGGGCGTGGCTTGAACACTCTGCAGTCGATCAAGAGCTGAGGCTCGTCAATACCTCTCACGCAGCATTATCTACTAATCCTCCTCTGTCTGCTCTGTAGTGTTCCAGGCTGACTCTCCCTATTCTACATAGAGAGGAATGCCGGCGCCTCTCTAGCACATCTCAGTTCTTCGCAGCTCGTCATGTTTTCTTTCATCTTTCTGCAAGTCAAACAACGTTATTGACGGCGCAGACATCGCCTCTTGCCGTCACTCTGCCCAGGTAGATGACCCCTCCTCTTCCCCTAGAACTTGTCCGTGTAGACGCCCACAGGCCTTGTGACAAATCGATTACTCCTCCTCCTCAATTCATCGGGGGTCGCACTCCCACTCTCACTCACGTCCCTCGTAGCGCTTTCCGTCCCAACTCCGTGGTTAAGAGCCCGCGAGCTAGACCCTGCGCGCATCCTCGCCTCCAAAACTGCCAAGGCATGGTCTCCCGCCGCCCGAGCAAGTTCGGCTTCTTTCAGAAGACCCTTTCGGGTCAACTCTCTTTCCTCTTCGGGCAACACAAAGCGATGGATCGTGCGATGATCCATGACCCGTTCTTCGGGGTCTCCTCCACCTTCTACCCACGTCCCTTTCCCACATCTCCCTTTCCGCCTGTATGCACTGTACTCCATTGCCTGAGCATTGTTGTTCTTCTTCCCACGACCATTCCCCTGAGACTTGCGCTCGAGCAGTTTGCGGGGATCCGGGTCTGTTTTTGGCCAGGGAAACCCATAGAGCATACTGTGGCGCTCGCATCGTGGACATTCGCGGCGTGTCTGGTAGCCGTTGGGTTGGATGAAGAATCCAAGACATTTGTCGTTGTGGCATTGTACCCAGCGATCATGAGGCTGAGCGAGTAATTTGCGGGTGAGGATGTAGTCGCCAGCAATGCGGATGGTGCCAGTCATTGGGTGGACCGTCAATGTGGCCACGGTGGTGGAGGTACTCATCGGCTCTATGGATGGGAGCACGCTGCCTTCTGCGGCTGCAGAAGCGGACGACTCGACTCTGCGGACTTCTTTACTAATCGTTGTGGTAGATAGAGTGGAAACCGCTTGAGGCACAGCCAATGCCACGCTTTCGGCGATCATGCCCGTCTGCTGATCTTGTTCTTGCGTTTGGTGAGCCACACTGGTTTGCAAAGATTTTCGTCTGGAGGGCATGACGATGACTGTATCCTCGTCTTCCTCTATCTTGGTTGTTTCAACAGTCTCAATCTTGATCGTGACAGCGGTATGGGTGGCCTGAGCCCGAGAAATTGACCGACTTAATACGCTCGCCTCGGTTGCAGAACCATGACTAGAAGGAGAGGTCGGTGCCGGAGATAGTGGAACACGTGATGATATATTGGATAGCAGATTGGTGGCCATCTTGTTTTCCCCATGATTCGTCTGCGCTTTCAACGAACCGGGGGGCTTCTGCCGCGGCTCAGGTGCTTGATCTGTAGCATCTACCGGAGCCGACGGCTCTGGTTCAGGCTGACTTGACTTTCCAGAATCGTGTACTTCTGATCGCGCTGGGCTATGAGGCGGCGAGAGTGCTGCCACCTCCCTGGAAGCCGCAGCTCGCAAACTCTCGATCGGCTCGGATTTTCGCTCGATTGAAAGTTGCGGTGTCTCCGCATCTGGACTGTCTGATGGCGTCCAGGATTGCTGCAATTTAGACGGGGACTGCATGATCTTAGCATGCTTTGATATAGGAGGTACGGACGATGCGGGGGAGGCATTTGAGTCTCTTTTCCGCTTCAGGCCGCGGGGTTGAGTTGCTGTTTGAGGTTCAAGCTGTGGAGTGGAAGTGCGACTAGGAGTGTCAAGGATACCAGCCTTAGATGTCCAGCCATTTCGCTCGAGTTGTTCGCATGTATGACACAAGCAGTCAACATTGCCGGGCCCAAAGTAATCATCGCCGTATGAGACAGTGATCTCGTTACCGACCTCAATATTCTTCATGGCGACCACCTCCATACCATTTTCCCCACGCGTAACAAGACGACCATTTGCATCGCAATCATGGTTGGCGAAACGGGCAGGACCCAAAAAGATGGATGAATTTTTCTTGCGACTGGAGACAACGATGCTGAAGTTGCGATTCGTCAAGTCCAAGTCGGCCGATTCCTCGCTGGTGAGAGGCACAAGGGTGCCGGTGAGATATTTTATGGTGTCCCCCTGTCTGATACGCCTCCTGGCCGTGACAGCGGCTTCGTAAGTGGTGATGGTGTAGCGATTAGTGGTAGACACTTCCCAAGCACAATCGGTCTGGTACATATCTATGTACTTTCTGAGGTGCTGCAAGAAATGCTCTTGCTCAGCCTTGCTGCGCAAACTCTTCTTGTATCTCTTCAAGCCGGGGAGGGCGAGAAGAGCCTTCTCCGCGGCCTTCACATCTTTGTCGACAATAACCTTGTGCAGGAGGATCCGGGGGACTTCATCTTCCTTGATGCCGCGGATTGGGATATGTTTGGTGCGATTCTTTCGGATTCTTGACTTGTAATAAGCCTGCCATGTATCAGCACGATGGGGTCTTCTCATAGTATGGAGGATCACCGACATTATCTACCATGACGTCTGAGCACACGTCGTCATGAGCGGCCAGCTCAGCAAGGGAAAGCCTCTGGGTCTTTTCAGGCTCTGCGGCGCCCTTCCCCCGAGCCATGGTCGCGTGTACGATGAGCACCCGACAACTGAGACTCGGATGAGTTCATGAACACACAACAATATGAGTAGTTGGGATTGCAAGATCTGGGGAATTTGTATGAATGTGATTTAGCTGGGGGCGGTTTGGAAAGAGCGGAAGGGGCTGGATTGACAATTCGACAACTGGAACGCGGTCTGGAGTCAGGCCAGCCTGAGTGAGGCGAAAAGGAGCGAAACAATGGTAAAGTGAACGTGTACACGTTGCGACATGACGGTCCGAGTAGATTAGGCACTTTAGACGTGCATGAGATGGTCTCCTGAGCTGAGAAATAGAGAGAGAGACTTTCAGCTTGCTTCACTTTATGAAAGAGGGAAGTTGAGTGAAGGGCGACGGAAGGGCGACTTTCGAGTGTTCGGGGAGAGGGAGAGGGGGGAAGGGAACCAAGGGAACGTCGGCGGCGGCGGCTGGACCAGCACGACCAGCACGACCAGCACGGAGGGCGGCCAGGCTTGGGAGGGTGACGAGCTTTAAGCCTTAACGAAATCAGAGTGGGAGACTCCTCGAGCCGCTCTGTTTGGTCGGTTTGGTTGGTGTGCCCGTGCGTGCCTTTCCATCGACCGTCCAAAAGCGTGCGCCCATCTGCCCACCCATGCGCATCTTCACCTGGGGACCCAATTGAATCCCTATCCACTTTATAATTTATCTGCAGCTAGACTTATTCTTACTTCGAAGTTGCAACTACGGAGCACACCTTGATCCTGCAACCTCTGCTACGAGAGGGCGCATTATGCTGCCGCGATGATACAATTGAAGGTGGATATGGCCATCATCTTGCTCAGTTGCCCGTGTTTCATGCTGATGGTTGATTGATACTAGACGATGCTTAATTGCATCGACAACTCTGGAGCTGCCATTGTCGAGTGTGTTGCAGTTATGAGGAAGAAGAAACAGGCTGCCAGAATAGGTACGCAAGAGATGCCGCCAGCGTCTATGTGCCCTTTCCGCTAATCCCTCCGTCTGCTTCCAGGTGACAGAATCATCGTCGTCGTCCAGAAGCAAAGGTCGTTCGGCGCCGAGACTCCCGGCGGATCGAGTTTGAGTATTGCCAACAAAGTGCGAAGAGGTGATATCCGACACGCAGTGGTTGTGCGGGCGAGAAAGGAGGAGCGCAGGAAAGATGGGAGTCTGATACGGTTCGACGACAATGCCTGTGTCCTTATCAACAAGAATGGCGACCCCATTGGAACGAGGTTGTCAAGCATAGTGGGAGCAGAACTACGGGATAAAAAGTGGTCGAAGATCTTGTCATTGGCACCTATGCATGTATAACAAAAACCAGTGGCTGCGACTGCATGCTTGTTGGGCTAGGTTGAAGGATGGACACCCCTCGCCGTGGTGGTTGAAAATTCTTGTACAAAAAGCCAAAGAAGCAAAATTACGAAACCCGAAGTCCTCGAGCTGTTTCTGTGTGCGTGCTGCCGTGCGTGCTAAGACGAAGCATTTTTTTCCGTCGGCCTATCCATCCCATCCCTCATAAAATCGTTCCCAAATGGTTCCCCCAATACCAAAACACCTCGAATGCGCGGTATCACCGCCATGATATAATACCATTCTTGCCACCAACGCCATGCTCAAACGACAGTGTAGACATGATTGCAGGAGGTGCAAACGTAATAGAGTTTCTAGGGATTCCTGTCAGAAGCTTGAGGCTGAGGGTTGCAAGACAATTACTCACCATTCCTGTATCTGCGGCACGCTGTTGCGACTGGAAATAGACAGCTTCCGTTTCCCGGCATTTCGGACATTTTTTCGGCGCTCGAGGAAGCTGTAAAGAGAAAAAGGAAAGCAAGCCGTCAGCCACAAAGTCTCAGAATTTCAGACTTGACCCGGAGAAGAGAGAAGAACTCGATCCAGAGACCGTACGTCGAGTCTTCTGACCTCCCGGGTCTTCCACCGCTAGATGTCACCGCACTTGTTGCATCTCAACGGCTCCCCGCAAAGGGTACAGAGAGGGGGCAGCTCAGGGAAAGCAGAACCCACCGTTGGATCGTGTGCAACATCAGCGGTTGTTCCAGCTGTCTCTTGAACATTGGCGCCGAGTTGTTGACGGTAGGTGCATGCTGAGTCGTGTTGTGAAGTCGCATGGCAAGCCTTGCAAATGTAGAGGAGGGTGGAGGTCGCGCGGTCTTCTTTCGGGTAGAGGAGGTTCGAGCTGGGAGACAGGTTAGTTCAACGTCTCTGGGAAGAGATCGGAGGCTTACCATTCTTGACAGAATCGGTAGGAGACTTCGCTACGCTTGCTCTCGCCCTCACTCGGGGATGGGGAGGCCGCAGCAGACATGTTGAATATGTGAGGTTTGATCTGATCCACAGCCGAGTAGAGCAATTTGAGGCCGGCGTTCTGAAAGTGATGTCCTTCACGGATGGAGGCGCTGGTGAGCGTGGACGTTGGTGTGGTACAGGAGATGGATGGATGGATGGTCTGGCTGAGTAATTGTGCGAACAGGAGCGAGGCAGCGACGAGGAAAGGCAAGCGGTTGAGGCGTAGATAGATTGCTGGTACAGCAGGGACAGGGCGTCAAAGTGACTTAGCACATTCAAATGGCGAGACGAAGAGAAGGTGTTTTCGAAGAAGAGGCTGCACTGGATTCCTGCTCCCCGCGAATTCCTGCGAGGTGACTGCGCCGTACTTCGATTACATTATGTACCTCGCCGAAAATCAGGCCATTGCCCTAAACAAAGTTACCAAACCCACCCAAAGGCTGTGTGATTCACCGCTTGACTGGTCCCGAGTGACTCTTAAGGCAGGTTTCTGGTTCATTCACTCTTAGCTGGTCTACCCAGGCACGTCTGACTCCTGCGAACTGTTCTGCTGCAGTCTCTTCTCTCACTTTCTCCACGCCCAACCCAGGTTACAAGTCTCCATCAGCGAACCTATGACCGTCCAGACCGCACGAGATCAGCCAGTCAGGCTCCTGTTCCTGCCCATTTAGCCGCTTTTCAGCCCTATGCTACCCTCTTTCATTCTTCTTCGACACATTATTGACCAGCTGACGGACGACAAATCCACTGCCCCACCTCGGTCGCGCCCTGAAGTGATAGCAACACCAAACACAACCGGGGCATCCCAACAATAACTCACCCTCCTTCCAGTGATTTCATCTACGTGATCGACGCTCTGACCAAGATCTTTCTCAAGAGCAGTGCTGCATCTGTGAACCGCTTCAAAAAGCCATGGTATGGCGAATCGCTCGCCCGCTGAAGCCTACCGCCGCAAAACGAATACCTACTGATCCTCTCTACAATAGACTGAGACCGATACCGGGCTGCCCCCTGACTGGGAGGTCCGCCATTCCAACTCTAAGAATCTGCCCTACTACTTCAACCAGAAGACGCACGAGTCAAGATGGGAGCCCCCAGAGAATGCCGACACCGACAAGCTCAAGGTCTACATGGCGCAGCACCACAGTTCGTCTGCCAACGCCCGCATTGATGGAGCCGGCAGCGAGGGGAAGATCCGTGCGGCGCATCTGCTTGTCAAGCACAAGGATAGTCGTCGTCCCTCGAGCTGGAGAGAGACCAGCATTACCCGCTCCAAAGAAGAGGCGATTCAAATGTTGAAGGGCTACGAAGAACAAATCCGCTCTGGCGAGAAGACCTTGGGCGATCTGGCCGTCTCCGAGTCGGATTGCAGCAGCGCTCGCAAGCGTGGCGACCTGGGATTCTTCGGCAAAGGGCAGATGCAGAAGGAGTTTGAAGATGCGGCATTTGCCCTGCAGCCAGGCGAACTGAGCGGCGTCGTCGAGACGGCTTCTGGCGTGCACCTCATTCAACGGTATGTGTCGTCGGTCGTTTCTGCAACCCTTTTGCTCTGTGATGGCTGATCAGCGCTGCAGAATCCAATAAATTTCGAAATCGACGTTGAAAAAAGACGTTGCGCTCTGTTGCCCCATTGACGTATTGTCTCTAGGACGGGTGTGGCGGCTTTATCGTGGAAGATATGAGCATGGCGGAGGAACACATGTTATCCCCTCCTACTCAAGCTCACATTTTCCATTGCTGCGGCTCTCGTTATCCGCAGAAAAGTTGAATAGAATTGGCGTCACATTATGCTTTTTCTTCTGACGGACTTCTCCATGGGCCAGCTTTCACGGTCTGGTTGGAGTGCGCATCGAATTACTCCGTCCGCGGTGGCACTTTCTCAACGTAGTCACAACTGCATCGGAGATGTCTGTGGGAACAGTCACGCGGCGGTGGATGCGGGTGGTGGAAGAAAGAAAGGAAACATGGTTCTTTGTTGCTGTATCACTGACATACGTCACACTAGTCGATTCCTTATCCTAGCCCATGCAGGCTAACGGGGATGATTCTATTGACCACATCTGACAAGTTGGGTTCTTCAAGTTCTGATGGTACCGAGTTTCCACCTCGTCATGCAGGCTTCCGGTCCAATCACAACAGCCGCCCTTGTACCACTTCCCAGTCTGTCCAAGTCTGTCATGGCTCTCAAGGCTCTATACGGACTGGATGCATGGCGCATATAAAAACATTCGTGGCCTGATCTGACTACACGGTTCAAGTGTTCGCTCCACCAAGCATTTAAAAAACGTCCCGCGCAACCCTGATGCATATATACTGACTTCACTCCCCTTCCTCTGCTCCTCGACGTCCATTCCCACTCTGCTCCTCTCCAGTCTTCGCGCCTTCAGACCCTCGCAGCACTGGTTGATTGCCACGGCCACTCGTCCGCTCCTCCACTCGCCCCCGGTCACCATGAATGCCAGCTCAATTGCCGATGCTCTCTTCCTGGAGCCTCCCCATTCACACGACCCCAGCAATGTCTCACATGTCGCGGCACTGCCAGCATCAATGCTCATGCAACTGCCAGAGGCGGTGCAAGACGCCCTCTGGACTCTCCAAGAATCTACCTCGATTGTCTACGCCTCGTACCTCAGATTACAAGAACTTCTAGACGAGCGGTTTGACCGATTGATTCCTCTACCAGGAATGCCCGGGTCGTGTAAGTTCGCATCCTTGCCTGACAACAAAGCTCTCTCCCTCCCTCCCTCCCTCCCTCTCTCTCAATGAGTGTTCCCAACATTTGCCACCGCGAAGCGGGGAGTTACAGGCCAAAGCTAATACGGGAGGGGGACCGTTCTAGATTCTGAAGGTGCATTTTTCAACTACATGAACGCGTTGTCCGCAGAACGGCGCTACCTGCTAGAAGACGCGCACCCGGATTGGAAGCACAAGGCGTCGCGAGCCGGGCTGTCCCAATACGGCGAGCTGCTACTCACCTGCCGGGGCAGGGAGATGACGGTGCGGGAATGGTTCGAGCAGCTGCAAAGGGCCGAGCAGCTCTGGATCCAGGAGGCTAAAGACGCAGAGCTGCCCGACTTTGAAAGCACCGTGACCGAGTACCAGATCTTGACGGATTCGGAGAGCTCGACGCCGCCCAGCGAGGTGTCCGAGGACGAGGGGTCCAGAGGCTGGGATGCTCGGCCGGCCCCAGCGACCCGAAAACCAATGGCGGATCTTAGGACCAAGATGGGAGGAGGACACGAAATAGGACCGGAGCGGATCGCGAAGGCTCTAGAAGCGCTGTGAGGGAAAAAAAAAAGAGGAAGGCAAGGGCAAGGAATGGGAAGTGGCCAAGCTGTGTGCGTGGGTGTGTGTGGATGGGATGCAACTGCATCTTGGGGTTTTCTCCTACTGGCGCCATTGTTCTCCTTTGTCTGCGTCTTGCATTCCCCTCTCTCTCCCCCCTCTCCCTCTCTCGCGTCTGAGAATTTGTTTATTGTGCGACCCGGGAGAGGAGCGAAGGGGCTGCAAGTGTGGTCTGACGGCTCTCCTGAGTGGCTGACGTATCGCACGTTGAGACGTGGTTCGATCTCGATCAGCCAGTCTTGTTTTCGCCTTTTCGTTTTCTGTTGGGCTCCTCTTTTGGGCCTGGCTTGGAGAGAGCACACAAGAGAGGAGAAAGAACGAGAGCTTGGAGGGGAAGCATCACCAAAAGCCCTTTTGTTTCGTGTGTTGTTATTTGCCACCATCAATCATCCACCCTTTAATTTATTTTTCTGACATGTGTTAGTTAGACCCGGAGAGAGAGAGAGCCCCTCCTCCCTTGCATTAGCATTACATTACATTACACTTGCCTTTGTTACATGAAGCAATTTGGAACGAATTATTTGGAATCTCTAATAGCCCTACATACGAGGCACACGGCGACATGGTGTTTTGTTTTCTGATAGAACCAAAAATCCATGCATACACGCAGCGCAGTGCATTGCATTGCATTGCACGGCACACTATGGCATAGCATACTGTATGACTATTAGTTAGTGTCTTTCCACTTGCGCCTGTATCTCTGCTGCTAAATTAAACATATTATGCCCCACCTGTCTGGACACGAAAAGAGCGGGCAAGAGGCCAGCGAAGTTTCTCGCATCTGCCTTTACATCACCAACTTCCTGTAATACTACATACTAACAAGTAGTCGCTAGGTAGGTACCGGAAGTACTAGTTGCGGTGTCAATTTCGATTGGGACATTACCCGTATTGTCCTCGACAATACCGGAACAAGTAAGGCAAAAGGAAAAGGGCGGAGGACGGCGGGAACCAAGAAAGTCAGATTGTTCTAGGCCGGAAGTGGACTTCCGAATAGCCCCTCTTTCCAGAAACCTTTTTAAACCTTTTTACAAGCACATCTTACCACCAAGGTAGTGCTACGGACTTGCTTGTCGAGCTTTGAACGCTGCTGCCTAAGGAGTGTTGTTTGACCATGGACGGGAGGTACCTACCAAGTAGTACCTTTGTGGAGTTCTCCGTCTTGTATCTTACAAGTACCTGCCTAGGTACTCGGTAGGTAGTGAGGGGAGGTCCACAGTGGTGGACAAGTGGTGGGCAAGGACTACCTAATAGCAAAGTACAACCATGGTCGAAACATAACACCCATGATCGACAGGGGAAGGACTTTTTTTCCCTTACCTCCCCCTCCTCTTCTCCCCTCCTTTCCCTAGGTAATGCCAATGCCGATACGAATGAGTATGCTAATGCCAATAGAGTATTCCGCCGTCTGTAATCGTACATGTGTCACTCGTATGTAATGACTTGGTGACGGATTGTGGGGGCTGAAAAGGAGGGGTAGGCAAGGGTAGGGAAAGTATGCGTGGTGCCGATGTAATAATACTCGGTAATAGGTTTCCCTTCTTGCCGGTGCTGATGGTTCTTGGTCACGGGTACCAGATCTCTCCTTCATTCCATGTACTTATGCATCAGTACATCTACCCGATCCATATTGCTGGGCCCAAGTTTGCGTTGCGGACTTTTACGCACCTACAAGTAGGTGTAATTGTTATTTCCAAAATCACTTTTCTTTGCTACCGTTGCTGATGCTGGTGGATGTCCTCCTGATGGCTGATGCTACTGATGCAACCGCTGGTGACACAACACGTCTCCTTGTTGTCCCGCCTCCTCTACTCTTCCGCTGTCCTTCGCAGAGCTATGGCTGCTGGCTGCTGGCTGCTGATAGCGGCAAAAACACCTAGAAACGGCCATTTTGGAGCGTGCATGCGTAGATCGGGCTCGACTACCGCTACCTACATATTCCCTACCACTTTCTCAGGTCAGAGCTATCACACACGTGGGCTTACTCGTACGGCCAGCCTTTGTTGTCGAGGGATTTGGAGGACCCTCTCGTCTCTCTGTCTCTCTCCTTCTCCCTCTTTCTTCCCTCCTCATGGATGCACAAAACAAACTCCAACGGCATCGATGCTGTGTAACCGAAAGGATTCTGCACAATAACAATCAGAATTGCCGAGGGTAGCCTAATGGCCTCGACCTGCAAAAGTCTGCGAACTGCTGTTGTGTCACCAACTAGTCCATCCTGGTGTGATTCCACCAATTCTTGCTCAAGGATGGACCTCGCTTAAGATTCAAGGGTCATATAACGCTCGCAACGGAGCAGCCGGCCCTGTTTTCATTGGAGAACACCTGATCGATGCTGCCCGAGCTGTTCGCGCAGTAGTCGTCGGCAAAATGCCAGAAAGTCTGCCGTCGACCGCAAGATATCAGCTTGATTTCTTCACGTCTGCAGCTTCTTCTGGGATAACTCTTTTGCCTCTGACCCCTCTGCGCCATCAATTCAGGAAAGCACCCGTGTTACCCAAACTTCAGCCTATGCACACCAGATCCGCCCGTCGGGCTGCTGCTGCTGACTTCGACGCCCTTTCGCAATCCTCTGGCCTGACCTTTGGCTCCGCTCCCCGACGCGTGCAAGCAACCGAGCTGGCAAACACGAGTCTCACCCGGTCCACGAGCTGGGAAGCTGCACGCGCGTTTCTGGTCAAATGTAAATAGATCACCCCGCAGGAGGCCGACCTCGGCCCTGGACATCTGGATTATCAGCTTACCAACGTCTGAAATCCTGGGCAACTGCAACCCAGCATCTCCCGAACGTCTTCGGGGATGTGAGTCCGACGAGAATCCACCTCATCCAAGTTGCACAGGTTGTGACTCACTTTCTGCACGCATGTCTGCCCAAGAGATGTCTTATTCATGCATTGAAGACCCTGCTCTTTTGGCCTCCCATCTCTTGGAGGTGGGTTGCAGGCCATGTGATCAAACCACTTCTCTGGTTGAGGTTCCTTCATGCTGTGTATCCATCCTATCTGTTGCTTGTCCAACTATTCTTAACCTAATATGGCTGTCCGCCGACAGGCTCCTCACACCTTTCTGCTGGCCTCAGCAGCTGAGGACACTTCAAACCACATTAGCTTCCCGCATAGCTTCCCGCATTGCTTCCCGTCGCGGGTAGACGGACCACGTCGACTTCAAACGCCCGTCGAGAACCTTGGCCGGTGGTCATCTGCCCAGATGTGCCGCCAGCGAGCCCTCCAGTCCACCTTCCGGACCGCACTCACGGAAAGTGTCCTGAGTCCAGCAATGTCTCCCACGACGACGCGAACTCGAAAGTCCGTAATAGCGACAGCGCAGACTGCCTGAGTTAGGAGACACAATCTCAGCAGGGATCCGTGGCGACATTGTTACGCAACGAAGTGTCGGATGATTCCGTTGCACACTCCTCCACCACGTTCTCCCATGGACGGCCAAACATCAGCATGAACGTGGCGTTCTGCGTTCTAACATTGTCCTGAAAACAGTACTATTGGTAGTCTGCCCGTCATGCTGATGACTAGCGTAATTCCGATAGTGATCGAGGGACAACTCCGTCAGAGCGGACGCTGGATCGAAGGCGAAAAATTGGGAATTCTAAGCAGTCAGAATTACCGCAGAATAGGGTGACACGGGAGACAATGCAACGACCGCTGCTCGTCCATGAAACCAGGAAGCTCTGGAAAACTAGAACGGGATCTTCTCGAGCCATGAGGGATCTACGCCGGTTCCCGCAGGAAGGCCCCCATTGCCTGAAGGATGGCGAAATCAAACATCCATTGAGAGCTACCCAATCATCACCGCCCGAGAAAATCGCCCGTTGTTTTGTCGAGGGCTCTGGTGGCGGCATGTCTGGTCTCTTTGAGGATGTATTTTCTGGTGTCGTCTCTCTGAAACACTATAATCGTAGAGATATCCCATGTCACAAGAGTTTTGCCCAACAGGAACATACACCACACGTATCAAACGGAAAAGGGCATGACCTTTATCCCCACAGCTGTCATGGCAAGCGTCGCAAAAGGCGTGGCATCGTTCGTTCAAAGGAACCACATTGTCCGACGGTAGGTAGTGGGTAGTCCCAGAAGCATAAGCAAGGCAAAGTAGTAGTAGATACTCGGTACACATAACCCCATTTGACACAGACCTGGGCTGCCTGGATCTCCTGATTTGTCCCTATAGTCAAGGCACGACCTTGCCAACTCGGGGGTGGGCAGGAGAGGTATCGTCTCTCTCTTCAACCACATCCGGAAGCCGTATTGTCGCATTTCGCGCAAATTGCTCTCCTGCATAGTACCTTTCTCTATTTCCGTAAAAGAGCTTGTCTGGCCGATATAAAGTTACCGAAGGCGAGCCAGCCATGGATGATCGCTCGTCAAGCGCTGGAAGGGAGAGGTGGGAACAACAGACAGCATTGGCGTCAAGTACCCTTGATTACTCGCGAACGAAAAACCTATATGCCAAACACGTTTTCATCCTAAAGGGTGAGCGAAGGCTGCTTTGACCTGAGGTCAAACTGAGCCTCACTGAGCAACCCCTGAGCAGCACTCTGAGCTACAAAGGAGGCCTAATCTAGCTCCCCTACGATCGGCTTCACCTACGTCTCAGCCAGACATCTATTTCAGATAGGCCCCTAGCCTCAGTGAACCTGGCTAATCCCTGCCCCCCCACACTGCAGCCTAAACTCCTTGTGCATCGAACCCCCGTGCATCGTAGAGCAAAAATCTGTGAAGGAAAATCGTGGTCGTGGCGCCCCAAAAGGCCCCGGGGCCCCGTCAGGCTGCGTTTAAGCACACGGTGAGTTCGACAAGGCCCAGACTTTGGTTACATAAGTCTCGTCAAGTCACCCCACTTTTTGTCGTCGGGTGTCAGCGGGCCAAACTATTGCACACATATATCGTCTCTTCAATCTTGCAAGGTATAGAGAGTCCGAATACACAGCAGACGCTGACAGGCCATTGTGTGACACAGAAGGGACATTTACTCTTTCCTTTAAAGATGAGGTGCGCTTCAGCGACGAGCTGAAGCGCAGTTTGAACTACTCGAAAGCTTTTCGCGGAGAAGATGAACAAAGCCGAACACAGTACTCGAGCGAGTCAATAGTAGTGTAAGTCTCGGGACATATTACCGCCCAAAAGAGCTAGAGAAACACTCTTCAAGCTCAGGAACTACGGACTGGGTCAATTCCCAAAGCCTCTAGAAGAGTAAACCTTTCCTACCACGTGTTACGAACCGCTTTACACGTGAGGCGTGGATACTAGTCAGTAAATTCAGTTTACTTAGTAATACAAGAGTGAGGCAATGTCAGGTGAGACTGAAACTAAGTATATAGCAGAGGGACTATACTCTCAGCGTAAGATATATAAAGAACTCGATATCTTCAACTTCAAGCTCACTACGCTTGGTACTGCAGGAAAGTATCGTAAATATTATACCGGTGATGAATAGGGCCTGGCATACACGTGCAAGAACGTATAGAGGCTTGTGCAGCAGGTCGGTAGTCAAGAAGGGTCTTCTGGCGGTGGCTAACAGAACCAACAACACCAACAACAACAGTCTTGGAGTAGTAACGCGGTAGGAAGATAGACCGTCGGCGTCGGTGGGAGGATTGCAGTGGTCAGCGTGATCACAGAGAGGATATAGAAGGTCTCAGTGTAGCCAGCACTCTATTCTCCGCCTGAAGCAACACGTCGATTGATTTGTTTATATTCCTTGCGCTGGTGCTTAAGAACTATCGAAATCAATGCCAGTGCCTTACTAAAGTTAGCTGTACAATCACGTGACTATACTGATGACTACTTCCGGATCAGCTCATATACAATAGAAGGCTCGGATTTCGGGAGCGATTCACATTTTCAGACCCAAGGCGCTTAGACAGTAAATTCAGGAGATACTTCGCGCAATTGTTTCGTGTGTTTTGGCCGTACGAACTGCACGACGTATGTCACTTGGAAGAAAGCGGTCTATGTCCAGTTTTGCGGCCTTTTCGAACAAACTGTCCGTGATATAAGATTCTGGATGATGAGCTTGGAATTCTTCGACGCGTGCCCTGACACGTACGACGAAATTATGCCCTCCACACAAACCTGGGTTTATGTGGACTCACATCCCCGCAACCGGGTACCCTAAATGGCGGTCCAGGACCAGAGAAGTAATCCGGATGATGTTCTGGATGCAGAAAGGATCGCAGTTAAAAGCAATTGGCATCATCTGTGCGATTTGAGGCCATTATCCTAAGAGGAGCTCGACCAAGTGAGCCATGTACAACACCAAATGGGAAGGTGTTACTGCCACAGTATTTACGCGCCAGTATGATATTGGATGGAAGGCAGGCCCCTTCTCTCGTATGAGGCCAATATCTGAAGTATAAGGTTCGAGGAAACTTCAGAACAATATCGTGTTCTCGGCTCAGGCAGCGTCCGGCTGGCTTACATGGGAAGCAAGATCACCAATAACAAATCGATAAATGCCGCCCATTCCTGCCCCGACCACGAAGGCATCGTAATCAGTGTTAGCAGTCATGCTGAAATGCTTGGAAAGTGCAATCTGCAAGACAGTGCTTGTTCGAAAATATCAGCGCTAGCTGGAATGAGAGGTTATGGTCAAGAAGATTCCGAATCGAGTTCGAGGTGCAAGACTCGCAAGTGAGCAATTGGGATTGTGGGGGCGATGGTAGACACGGGATATTTGTTGTCAGTGGCGCTTGAGAGAGGCAATCAAAAGGACCATACGGTCAGCCAGGAAAAGTTCGGCAATACTATGCGCATGACAAACCAATATGATTGGTACTGATCTTGTTGGGCACAATCCTCCTGGAAGAGTCGTCACACCAGAGCTTTCGGCCTGTCCACCTCCATAGGCGGCAACATACCCAACTCGTTCATCTTCGTGTACATCTCAAAGATACTCTCCATCGTATCCACAAAGCCAGTCCAGCCGAGCCGTCGAGCCTGTTCGCATTATTTTAGCCTTGGTCCGAAATATGGCCTATATGTGTGCTTCACACCCAAGGTCATTACTTACCTTGTTCATCCCCACTGGCCCGGCTTTGATAAACTGAACGTCAGCAAAGACGAAGTTTCCTTGCACATCCTGGAAAGGGTCATGAGTTAGACCGTGTCTTTCCATGATTGCCTTCCACGCCTTGGCGTTCTCCGGATCTTGAGCCCAGCTTAGCATGGTGAAAGCGAGCTTGGTCCGCACTGGTGGGCCGTATCCCATTGGTGTCGCTGTGGCACCCCCAACGGCAATCTCGATCATGTTGCCCTCGTCCTCCTGCGGGGGAACTATTCCTTCCCCGATGTTGAACCATCGAACGAGCTCTTCCCAGAACCGATCCCACGAAAATGGGCTTGTGTCCTGGCTATTGAAAGCCTCGTTCTTGCATTTGTCTTCCAACACCGCCCATTCACTGAGGTATCCGGTCAAGAGGGCCGTGCCGTGATGCTGACAATCTTGCCACGTATCCCATGTACCATTAAACACCAAAGGCAAACCCCTTTCGGCCGCGACGGCCGCGTACACCGCGAACGGATAGATTGCGTTCATAGCGGCGCTCGTAGTCGGGCCTATGATCCAAGGAGGTCTGCTCTAAATCGTTAGCCTCGAAGGACATGATTGGGGAAGATGGAGCTTTGGAGGGTTGGAGCAGCACCGACGCGACTCCGAGGAGAGACTTATCTTATAACGTTCCAGCCAATGCCATTCTTCGCACAGAATTCGAACAGCATATCTTCTTGGGCGTAGTAGAAATTGGGAGCTAAATGGCGAGGTTGAGGGTCCGACTCGAGACACGGAGTGCGCGCTCTGCCGATGTGAACTCCGTAGTGCTTCCCACCGGTCTGCAAGAGGAAGCGTTTTGGTTTGACATCGGTAAGAGACAACGCCTGCAGAAAATTCGACAGCATACTAGCGTTGACCTTGACGAGTTGCTCATCGTTGGACCAGGCGTCAGCCCCGGGGTCAGGGCGTGGCTGAGAATACGAGTAGTAGAAGATATAATCCGCCGTTACTCCGGCGTCCTTCAGGGTCGAGGCAATTTGCTCTGGCGTAGCTGAAACAAAGTCGCACGCAACATGTTGAATGCGGGAGCATAGCTCCACTGGGAGCAGCTTCAGCATCGGTTTCGGCGGAGGACTTCTTGAGATGGTATAGATTTTCGACCAGCGGTGGGGCGAATCCAGGAGGGCGCAAAGAGTTCCGAAGCCCGAAATGCCCCATGCTCCGGTTATTATGGCAGTCAAATCCTTGGTCGAAGGATCAAATTGAGGAAGATTGTGGTAGACACCACTGTTACGGAGAGGGTAGTTCTCTGACCCCATGATGGCAGCGGCACGAGAGTGTCGAGAAAGACGGCCACAAGACGAACGGAAAACAAAGACCTAGGAGCAAATTCATACCGGCTGAGATCCATCCAGCTCGTTTCTTATAGCACGTACTCTTTGGTGCTTCGCATTTGTTCCTCCAGCTTCCTGCCCCCCTACTTCCAAAGGAGGAAATCGCGATGGGGGCGGAGGCGGAGGCGGGGGGGGAGAAGGAATTGGCCGGCTGACAAACACATTTTCGGCCTCCAGTGCCATCCAAGCTATGTATCTACGCGGCCGCGAGTCGGTCCTTCCTCGTACACTCATCTACTTCTTACCTTGTACGGGGCCCGTGATTCCCGGTGTCAATTGCCGGAAGCGGGAGGGTCGACCAAGTCGACAAAGAAGGAGCAATGGGTACTGGGTACCCAGTATGGCGAGATGGGTCCTGTTACACTAGCGTCTTGGCGGGGGTCACTGTCGATTAACGACAAACCGGTGACAGTCCTGAGCAACTTCAACTGCCCACAGAAACAACTTTGCATAACCGGCATCATATATCGTCTGCTGCTTGAAATCCCAGTTGACCAGTCTTTCGCCACACCCTGAGTAAAACCCGATCAACTTCCACAGACGTCACGGAACCATGTTCGACGACAGCCTGAGCTGCCCATCATGTCACAGAAGCTTTAGCCGACGAGAGCACCTTCAGCGGCATTTACGCACCCGTATGGAGGCTCTGCACCCTAAAGACATTGTGCCACAGATGTTACACCAATGTGCTAACAGCTTCTTATCAGATAGCAGTGGCCGACCTTTTGCTTGCGAGCATTGCCATCGGCGATTCTCCAGAAGGTATGCGCGGCGCGCCAGCTGCCGAATGCTTCGAGGTCGAGCTGAACAGCTGCAGTGATGTTCTCAAACGCCACCTAACGACCTGCAGAGCTAACTGCGGTCTTGCCCTTGAAAGCTTGGCGCAAGCAGATCCCTCTGTTGGACCAAGGACCTGCCAGCCCTGCGACCGCTGTCAGAAGTACAACCGTATCTGCGATTTCAACCAGCCTTGCCGGAGCTGCCTCACATTAAACGAAGCGTGCATATACTCCTGGCGGCTCGATAGTCCGCAACACGCAGCCTTCAGCAACTTTGGTCACCTCAACGACATTCTTAATGACACCGCTACGTCCAGAGGTGCTATCGAGGGAAGTCTGACAAAGGCTGCCCTTGCTCCGTGCTCAAACGACAGCCTTAGAGAGATTACGACCCTCAATTTCGATTTCCTAATTCATTTTACTGTAGCTAGCGGATTTGCCAGTTCCTTCGACAATGACCTCTCCTTTCATAAGCGCCGGCAAGGACTTGGTTGGCAGGCTCAGGAGCCTGAAGAGTCCGCCCTCGCAACTTTTAGCGACTGCTTTACGCCGCAGGTCTGTCTTGATTTCTTCCAGTTCGATGACCAGGCCGCTGAATCGCCTGAATTGCTCACGACGCACGTCTTCGGCTTTCCTGTCCTAGGTGATGACCCGGAACTTGGCCAAAGAACCATAAGGTGCCGCCCCCAGCCTATAAGGCCAACATTCACAGAGCATTGGCTGTCCGATTATCAATGCTACAGACCAATGATGCTAAGCGCACATGGATTGAAGAACATGGCCAGTGCATCCATTCTGGATTCTGATCCTCTGGCCTTCAAAGCTCTTGATATCGTCAGTCGAGTCAAGGAAGCCACCATGCTCAAACCGCGGAATTCTATCATCCCATTCACATGGTCTGCAATGGTAGAAGAAACGTGCCTACGTTTCTTCAGCCCGTCAAATCTTAGCAAATTCATTGAATGGTACTGGATCTCCTGGTATCCTCACTGGCCAGTCATTCACAAGCCGACATTTCAGGCCTCTGCTACCCCTAGCACTCTTGTTGCTGCAATGGTTTTGATAGGAGCTTCCTACTCGCCGGAGCAAGCTGATCGCGACGACTCTAGGATGTGGCTTAACGTGATCGAAGAACTGGTGTTCACCGACGAATACTTCTGCGATGACGTAGATATGATCACGGCGTCTGACCTTCACCCATCAACAGTCCAGCGACGGCGGCTTCAAGCGCTCCAAGCTGCACATGCAATGTGTTTGTGCCAAGCCTACGAAGGCGATGACAATAGCAAGAGAAGAGCTCGCCACCACCGCATGAACGCCGTTGTTGCTGTGAGCTTCCAAAAAAAAAAAAAAAAAACCTTGAACACACCTGACCGGTAGCAGTTGGCCCGCGCCTTCGGTTTTGCGCAGGGAAAGCACACAGATCTCAGGGACACAATTGAGCGTGGCTTTAGCTGGTCACGTTTTGTGGAGAGAGAAGAGCTTATAAGGTATTCCAGTTCACCCACAGCTACAGTCAGCAAAGGACTGATGCCACGTAGGACCCTAATCTACGTATTCGCTCTCGATTCGGGCTTTCTCATCTTCTACAACCTGCCTCCAAAGCTCGTGGTGCAGGAGGCCACAGTGAGTTTGATATGTCCAGAAGCCTGCTTTCAGGCGCATACGGCGGCGGAGTGCGAGGAATATGTCCGAATGTGGACGTCCCACAGACTCTACAGCCCGAACTTTTCGCTGTCTTCGGCTATCGAAATTTTGTGCTCCAAGCAGCTCAGCCCAGACCATCGAGATCTATTTGTGGAGATAGGCAGCGTGAACCTTCTGATCATCGCTGCTGGTAAGTCGTTCCTAACTCTTAATGCGAGCATGGTCATCCCCTATGAGAATCCTCTGTGTTAACCTACTTCCGTGGGTCAGTATTCAACTCCATGGCGTTCCACTTTCGACCAGCACTAGGCCAGATCGCCGAACTCGTGCCTCTACAACATGCCATTTCACACTGGGGAGAGATCTGGGCCGCTCGGCCTCCGCCTGGAATGCGCAGTGCATTCGGGACATCTTCGACGGAACCAGTGTCATTTACCAGCCAACGTGAGATGTGGAAACGGCTTGGTTTTATGAAACACGCACATGAGTTCTGGATGCTCTCCCGGATCATTGTCGAGCGCCTTGTGGCATCCCAGCGCCACGTCGTCCATGCTGGCGACATATCCGACCACGCTCGTCGGCAAGGACAGGTCAGCGGCGAGATTCCAGACCAATATGACCGAGGAGATATGAATCAACTTAGGACCCTTATTCTCGGAGCCATAAGGTCGACCCTGTCATCCAAGGAGTAAGTCTCGACGCTCCTTCCGGTCGCAACGTACCACTCACCGCAAGGACCTTTCAGCAACCGTCGGCGCTTGACCGTACTCGAAGCGTCTACTACAAACCCGGGGGATTGAATCCAATGGGTCCTCGACTTCAAAGTTGAGCAATACGAGGTTTTGTCTGTCTGGCTTGACTCTTCTATCGAGGCTAACCAGAGCGATAACCCGCGACCAATCCCTGCCTGGGCTTCTCGAGCTCCACCCCCGCCTCCTCACCTCCTCCTTCCGGCCCCGCCTCCGCTCTCACTTCCACATTTGGACTAGCTAAGAAAGGATAGCGAGTGACGTCCAGGCTGACTTTACGCGCCAATTCGTCATTACATGGCCATTCAAGCAATTGAGTCTTACAGTAGCTCAGACTTCTTGGTGTGTCGTCGTCATTACACTCCTGACAGAGACACCTCCTCTATACTTCCCCCTCGAGGCTGGCTTCCTTTACTCAATGCGGCACTCAACCGAAACCGCGGCACCTCGCTTGCAGACATAGCTTGAGACTAGCCACTGCCGCTATTGCAAGGCTGCGTATTCTGGGGAAGTGAATCGAGAGGATATCACTTGACGTTGGCTCCTTCCGACAAAGGATTTGTTCATATAATGGCCGCGCGACTACCTTACCTAGACTCTACTTGCAACACTCACTGTTGATCAATGTGTTGTTCTTTGAACATCTACTCACGATGCTCTCCCACCGCAAGAACTTCTGGTTGTGCTTCCTCATCACTAGCACCATGATGAGCTTCGGCTATGGGTCCTCCTACTTCTCCGTCACCTTCGGCCAGCCTAGCTTCCTGAAGTACATGAAACTGGCTGGACCAGAAGCATCTTCAGATGTGGAAAGTTTGATCGGTGCCATGACTGGAGTCAATACCGTCAGTCTGCTTCCTCTTTCTTCAAACTTGGCTTTCTCCTATTTCCAAAGCTTCCATAGCTTGCTTTCCTCACTGACATGCGAACGTCGAATAACAGGCTGGTGGAATTGTCGGTGTCCTGGCTCTCGCCTGGGTCATGGATGTTTGGGGTAGACGAGCAGGATTGGCCTATTGTGCAATTCTGTCGATCGCCGGACGGACGTTGTGCGCTGCGTCTCGAGATATCGCCATGTTCATCGCCTTCCGCTTTCTGGATGGCGCTGGCACTTTCGCCTCCTTCATTGCAGGTGAGACTTGCCCACCGGCCGTCGAATCTCTCAGATTTGTCATTTCAATGCTGACATCTGCTTGGAATTTAGTGCCTTTGTACGCTGCCGAGCTTTGTGCGCCTCAATATCGCGGTCTCTTCGTTGGTCTTGGAGGTGTATTCCTCACTATCGGATACACGATAGGTACGTGTCCAACATGCATCCCCAGCTGAAGCTTCGACTAATATGTGAATGCCTCCTTCGAAGCTGCCTTGATGGGCGTCGCATTCTACTTCTGCCACTCCCCCGATAACTGGCGCGGCCCTATCGCGATCGGAGAATTCTTCGCCCTACACATGCTGCTAGTCGCCTGGTTTGGCCCCGAGTCCCCCCGTTTCCTGCTTCTACAAGACAACCCGGACGGAGCCTGGAAAATTGTCAGCAAACTACATGCCGACCAGAACGATCCTGACCAGACCTTCACAAGAGCAGAGTTCTTCCAAATGCAGAAACAGGCCGAATTCGACCGGTCGGTGAAGAGCAGCTGGGTGACTCTGTTTACCAAGAAGAGCTATCGGAAAAGGCTGATGCTCTCGGCTGGGTTTGCGGTTATTGGGCAGTCAAGCGGCATCCTGGTTATCTCGAACTATGTGAGCGATGTGACGGACTCCTTCCCCAATGCGACTATATCCCACGCTAACCATACAATCTCAAGGGTCCGTTGTTCTACGCGAACCTCGGATTCAACGATATAGACCAACTGTGCTTTCAAGCGGGATATTTCGCATGTAGGCCTCCATTCGCAATCCCGTCCCGATGGCGAATCACCCTGCTGACCAACGTTTCTTACACAGCGGCCGTCCTAGGCAACCTCGTCGGCTCACTGGTCATCGACCGCGTGGGCCGTAAGCCAATCATGCTGCTGGGCATCGGTGGCTCATGCGTCTGGCTCTGCGTCGAAGCTGCCATGAGTGCTCTCTACGCGGGCACTACCAACACGGCAGGCCTCAATACCGGCGTGGCAGCCTTATTCCTATTTGTCTTCTTCTACGCTTGTGGTGTTGATGTCGGCATGCTGGTGTTCTTCGGTGAGATCTATCCGAACCACATGCGCGCTAAGGGATTCACGGCCACGCTTGCGATCCTTCTGTGCGCAGATTTGGTATATTTGCAGGTTACGTCTCTTGCGTTTGCCCATATCCATTGGAGGTTTTTTCTGGTAAGTCTGCACATGAAAGAACGGATGTTTCTAAGCCTTAAGGGCCGAGACTGACAGCATTGGGGTGCAACAGGTCTTCATCATCATCACCGGAGTAGGCTTCTTCTGGCTCGCCTGGGTCCTGCCCGAGACAAAAGGTCTGCCCTTGGAAGAGATTGCCGCGATCATGGGCGACGCAGATCAAGTTGTCGTGTATCAGCAGGACATTCGGATCGACGAGAAGAGCAATCAAGTCGTGCTGAACACCGCGGACGACGAGAAGAGCGATGCACAACATGTGAATGCAGAGATGATCGAGGAGATCGCGCTGCCGCCTGGCGATATGACTGACCGTGTGTGAGGATGAGGACGCTCGAACCGGCCCCTCATGGGAGCAGGAGCAAGTCGCAAATTGAAACTAGCATGTTTGCCTGGATTCAAACGTGGGTGTGAGGATGAATATAGTGACGAATACCAGTTGTTTACTGTAATTGGAGGAGTTTAAAAGCTTGAGGCGAGTCGTCAATGTTGGTCGGCTTAAGAGGGGAATGGAAAAATCAGCATGTCACCAATCCACCCAAACCCACTCATATATAGCCCACACGCGCACAATTCCCTTCGCAATCGACCATAGGGGTAGGAAACCAGGGCTTCCCGTCTCTTCAGCCTACTAGCCGTACTTCAGCCTTCTGCTGGCCAGTCAGTCCTCTAATTTGTAGCTCCGTCAGGTAGGCATCAACAGTGACTACACATGACAATCCAGGAGATCTCCCACGCCCCAGAGTGTTCGAAGCTTGAAGGAGTTGTCTGCGAGGCCAACGTCCATTTAAACCGAGCTTTTAAGCCTAGCATAAGCGTGGCTGAGCACCCAGTGCAGTCCCTGAGCAACTCCCTGAGCCAAGCTTGGGAGCCTAATCCGGCTCCTTCCGCATGGAGTACCCAAGTACCTTTGAAGGGTGCGTAAGCCGAAGTTCTCGAGCATGGACTGTGGTACAGAAGCCATCGATCGGAAGTCGTATGTACCTAGGTACGTACCTCGTGCCATAAATGCTGCGGTGTCTGTGACTTCCCTCGACGCCCGCCATGCCCGATCCAACTGGACTTCCAACGGTCCTCCGTTCCGTTGCAAAAGATCTCCTCCCGTTCCGGATGCCATGGCATCCGTTAATTAGAATCTCTATATGGCCCATCAAGAAACCTGAAAGATCGTTCCAAGCCCGCCCGTGCTCACCTTGTGTTGCCTGGGTATACTGTACCACGCCCCGACCAATGTCCCTTCAGTCTTCCTTCTTCACCTTTCCCCTATCTTTCGGCCTCTTCCTTGCTGCACTGTTCCAGAAATTCCCCCAACGCTTCAATGACAATCATGTGATCCTGATCCTGCTTCAGTCCACTCACGACCACAACTCCCACAATGCCCTCCACGCCTCTCACCCTCACCGGCACACCGCCGCCGTGAATCGCATAAGTCCCCGCTTCCCCACCGAGCATATATTTTCTAGAGAAGGCCTCCTCGTCCCCCTTGAATTTGTTGTGCATGAACCACGTACTCACTCCCCATCTTGACACCGTCTTCCTCTTCCGCGACACCCAGATGTCGTTGTCCGGCTGGATCCCCGGGCGCGAAACGGCGTGGAATAGTAGGTTGGAGGAATTGGCGAGAGAGATGGACACCACGGCGGCCAAGGTCGAGAGAGCCCGCAAACGGTTGCGGATCGACAGGCCGATCTTGAGAGCGTCGTCCGCCGTGAAGTGTGGGAGGATCAAGGATTCTTCTTGTTTGGCGATTTCGGAGAGCTAAGGGTAGACAGCAAAGTAAGTCGGCCTGACGAAAGCGGAATATGAAGACTGGGGACGGAGAAAAAGATGGCCCCCATGCCCGAGGCTCGGGAAGGCTCAGGAACAAGAATGCAAAAGGAAGAAGCATACGTCTCGCGGCGCCTCGCGCAAGGGGCGGCCGGCCATGTCAGACACTATTAAAGGTCACTTGTGCTACGTGACGACGGTATAGTTTGGTTTGACTTGAGGCTCTTTTGAAAATTGCATAGGTGACCAGCAAGGAAATGAGGGATGTGTTTCCCCGCACTCACATATGCTCGGCTTGGCGCCGAGCGCCGCCACCCTGGCAATTGTGAGAGAGCCCTGGTGACCCTTCCTTCTCAGTCGCAAGGCTCCTAAATTTTCAAACTCTCAGGATTCAGCCCTACTGAAACATGAGCCTCCCGTCTCCCTTCTGGACTGATGATAGAGTCACTGCGCGCATTTCCCGCCATTACTCAGCAGGAATTTTCCGAAGCGTGCCGGGCATGGGAGCAGCGGAGCTCAGACAGGATCAGCGAGACGGACTGGTTGAGCGTGAGGTGGACCGGTGAGGAGTTGTTAATCACACAGAGACGGAAGATCACCTGCAAGGATGGCAAAAGAAGAACCCCCAGTGATCATGGGGACGCGCAGAAAGATGAGCTGATCGACATGGGCATAGAAGACTCCATCATTAAAGATACCGTAGGGAGCCCCTTGTCCGTTTCCACCCATATTTGTCTGACAATCCCCAGCTTGCGCCGGATGTGGACAACTTGGAGTCTCTGATTGTTGATTTCTCCATTACCTTGTCCCCAATCTATTCTGTACCGGTTCTTTGGTTTATTTGCCGATATGACCGAGTCAACAAAGCGTTAAGTCTGGACCAAATTTATGAATGGTTGGTGCCGGAACCATCACTCACTTCATTGCGTGGAATTGGCGTTATGGGAGGTATTAGTATGGCGGTAGGTCAACACTGCTCCCAAATCCTTCAGGCACTGACTTTTCGCAGCACCATCCTGTCTCAGACCGTCCGACCTTCTTCCTGCATCCATGTAAAACACAAGAGGCCCTTTCAGTCCTCAAACCGGGGCCCCTCACTCCGGAAGAATATCTCATGCTTTGGCTGGGATTGATTGGGTCTGCTGTGGGCCTGCACGTCCCGAGTAAGCTTATGAGCACTTGGGACGGAAGAATGCTTCCCTGAACCTTTCGGCGATCTTCCATTTGATTGCCAGCGTCGTATTATGGCATCGGGTGGATATGACAAGCAGGTGCTGATACGGTTTCCATTTCCGCCAGGAGAGGTTCTTCAACTGCCCTGGACCGTCATGACGGCGGCAGGCTTCGGCGGTGTTCGATTGAGCTAAACACGGGGGCGTTTCCTTCTATGCCGGCTTTAATCATCCTCATCTTCCTCCATTGGGGCATCATCCTCGTCTTCCTCCATTTCCACTTCGCTCTCTTCCTCCTCTTCCTCTTCCTCGTCTCTTGGTCTCTTTGTGCCCTGTGGGCCTCCGTCGGGAGTTGTTCCTGCTGGTTTGACTCCAGTCTCGACAGGCTTGCTTGTAATTCCACTTGGTGGAGCATTAAAGATGGATTTCTGTAAAGCTGTGGCATCAGAAGCAGTAGTTGCGGCAGTAGTGGGAGACTCGAAGGTCCCTCTCAGTTTCGGGATTATGTGCGATTGGCCCTTTGCGTAGACAATAACCTGCCTCAATGGTTTAATTCGTGATTTCCAATGGAGAAGTTGGGCTTCTTCATACCATTTCCTGGCCAAAGAAGTCGAACCCTTGTAAAGCTCGCATGGCCTGTGTGCTCGTCTGTACGTCCCGGAAGACAACGTGGGCCTGCCCTCGCATGCTCTGCCCTTTCGATCCAATGCGGCTCGTGACAATATCGAGGACGGGACCGTAGATAGAGAAGAGCATGTACAGTGCGCGTTTCAGCTCGTTCTTTTTGATCTTTTCGGGGAGGTTCTTGAGAAAGAGTCTATCATATCATCGTCAGTATATGTTCAGCAGGCAGCGAGGGTGCAGTTCAGACGTCTGGTTTGGATTTCCCGCGTTCTGGGACTCTTTCGCCGGTTTTGCGGCCATCGTATTCGCAAAGCTTGTCGGCGTAAGGGAAATGAAGGAGATTCAATATCGTTTGTCTTTATCTTCCCTCATTCTGTATTCTGACTCCGCATCCCCGAAATCCCGAGCTCTGTTGTCCCTTATAGGATGATTGTCTTTGGTCGATTCACAGATCTGGGGAAGCCTTGCGGAAATTTTGGCTTGGCGGCGAGGGCGGATCGAGATTGCGTGCACTTCGCGTGCGACTCACTGTAGCCCTGCCGCTTTTATAAACACTCTTCCCTTCTTGCCCTTCCCACTCCCCCCCCCCCACCAACTTTGGTCACCTTCGACCTCACCCTGCACCCGAACCCTACTCGACTGTGTGGAGCCCATCGAATCTAAAGTCCCCCTTTACGCCTTTGCGGCCTAGTCGACCGAGCCTCGAATTCCCTGCCACATCTTCTCATACGGTTGACAAATTTCTTGACGGAGTACCGATCCTTGGCTCAGGAATTAAGCTTAACCCCATGGTTAGTTAAATGGAACCGGGTCAGTTGAGATGCATCAAAGGGTTGGTTTTGGCGGGAAATTCCTGGCTTTTGCTCTTCTCCTTCCACGAAAAAGTAGATTGTCCACGTCATATGGTGTCGATTTAGTGACCACGGTGCATGCTTCGATATTCGGCGGTCTCGTCGCATGCTTCTTGGTCTTTTACATCAGTACTATCCTTCAATGTACGAGGCTCGACCAGCGTCGTACTTCTCTCCTCCGTACAACAAGGATGACCGAACCAGGAAAGTTGTGTTCAGGAGGGGACGGATAACAGGCAAGGTAAGATATTTGAGCTCCTAGACGGTGAGTAAAGCTCGGAGCCTCAAGACATAAAGCGAGGGATGCCTTCACGCTATCACTATGAAAAGTCGTGTGCAAGCAGCCGGGAATATTCGTTGCTCAATGGTTATTTGAATACGAAGAATGCTCTCATACTATGTCCCAAGGTTGTCATCCAGGTACAACATGCCACAACATAAGTCGATCGCCGTATCCGCCATGCCACGAGAAGCCGCCATGTCACGAGAAGATGTCTCAATCCAAGCGGACTACAAGGTTAGCCCACGAGGCTGGTTCTTCAAGCCCGACGATGCAAACTTAAACCCCTGCCATGACCTATGCTCAGTCCAATCTGACGTTAACATGAACAAGATTGGCGTCTGGGGAAGTTCTTCCTGGTGGCCGTCATTATGGATTGGAACAGCGGACAGAAGAGTCAAGCGTGCGCACTGCAAGCTTCCGATGGGTGAATGGGTGGGCGGTTTTCCATGGGCATGACGGACTCGGCTTAATCCCAGGCATTAGCGCAAGGTTCCAGGAGGGCAAGTCTACGCGTATAGCACAAGGCATCGAAGCTACGCACGCTGACTTCCCGTTTTACAGATTGACTGTCCCGAGCCGCTGGTGGCGTCCTTGCCACAATCCCTATCATCTAAGCCGATCCTATAAATCACAAGTCTTCCCTACCTCGGACAGCTACAACTTCTTCTCCTTATGGGAGTTGAGGCTTCTAATGGGGTTTTGGGAAGAAGCGGGGGTTGTGGCGGCGGGTGGCGAACACGCGATGTGCTCAATGTTAACAGACGGCCAGCCCAGCAGGTTTCCTGATGACTTGGCATAGATGCTGGGGGAAACCTGGAAATAGAATCCCAATTTCCTAACCTTGAAAATATTCTTTTACTCTGCAAAAGACAACCTCCAAATCAAAATAATGCGAGAGACACCGGTATGCTCAGGCTTGGTCAATCCCTTAGACGTTGAAATATTCTCTCAGTCCATCCGCCGTATAGTTCACGGATCCAGTCATCTCTAGTCAGGACCCGAGTCATCTCAACGCGGAAACTAGACAGCCAGTGTGGGCGGATTCTTCCCTTACACAACAGAAACAGGGTCAAAAGAGTAAGGGGTTCGGGACCTAGTATGGCCAGTAGGTGTCGATGAATGCGCAGGTGACCGGATCCCGCAGCGTAATATCCGCGAGTTGAGACGCTGACCATGTCAGTTGAGCTGGTGAGGCTAGTGAGGCTGACAACAAGGCTCTGGACCCCCTCTTGACCCCCTACAACCCGTCCTCGCCGCATCATGTGCCGGCTTCTTGGGCACAGGGCGGCGTCAACCTTGACCAAAAAAGGTAAGCGTGAAGCGGCGCTGAAATTAAGCTCCGAACGCTTGTCTTGGCGAGGGGCCCTTTTGGATGGCACAGGATGGCACAGGATGCGGTGTCTCGCGCTGGTGGCGCCGCATCTGCCTTCCTTCGCTTGATTGAACCGTCTCACATTGAAGGCGCAGCGAAGCGCAGCCCATGTCTCCTCCACAAATCACGTCCACAACTTCAAGTCATTTACTCAAGTCACTCTCTCACTTTGATCTGTACATACCTCAACACGCCTCCAGTATTGCAGTCTTAGCATCATCCAGCTTTCCATATTCTCTTTCAGTATCGACAGCTTTCGTCTCGCGCGCGACTCCTCCGAAGAACCAACCCCCCTTCGATCCAACAGTCGCCGCCCATCCTGGCGCATTCTAATTCTCGAGCCTGAGTTCCAGGCCCTCAGCGATGGGCAACGTCAGCAGCAGGCTGGACGATGGCGCCCTGCTATACTTAAAGGATCAAGCGCGCTGTATGTGCCTCTTGCCTTTCCCCGCAACTATGGCTGATAGCCACCAGTCTCCATCAGTTCCATCGTCGTCAGCAATGGCCGACGGAGAGGTTTTTTGAGTCTCGCGCCCAACGCATATCCAGCACTGCGTCTAGTTGGAAAACCAGATGCCACAGACTACAGACCCATTTCCTATATTCAGGTGCGTAATGAAACCCCCTCTAGGTACGAACGCCCTCTAACAGCTCAACTAGGACCCTGATTCTGCCTCCCTTTCTTTTCTTCCTAGGCTGGATCTTGAAGATGAACTCGAAATCCACTTCACATTTATAACGCGACAGAACTCCGGGCCTCTGCCTGCGACGCCCTCGACATCCACCGCTGCCGTCGACGCAACAATTACCGGGTTGACTTTTGCCTACGCTCAGAATGCCAAAGAGCTGGACACCCTTGTAACACGCGAATTTCACGCCGACCCAAATCTGCACAAGAATTCCAACGTCCAGTTTATCGGCGAGTTCGGGACGCATGGGAGTCCTGCAGTAACTTACGAATGGACATGGCATTGGAAACCTCCAAAGGCTCAAGAGGACAAAGGTGGAGGTTGGCGCAATTGCTGCAGTTTCCTCGAGTATGATTCCAGAGCACACAGACTCAATACCCTCGCGTCTTTTTCGTTCTGGGTCCAGAACACGTCCTTCCCAACCGGGATGCCACTAGCTTCTCCAGGTCTGGAAATCCCGATACCCCTCCACAGGCACAGGATGCCCTCGTCGCAATCATATCAGTCCACAGTCAGCGACTCAGAGGGCCCTGTAGAGCCGCAAGTGCCGGCTTCGCCGCAGATGCGGGCCAAAGACTACAGTTTTAGTGCGCCAACCTCGGCGCCTTCACTTCCCGTCATCGACGTCCAGTGTGCAAGGCCCGGGGAGGACGTCAGCACAGTTGAGGACGGTCCGGTTTTTAGAGCCACTATGAAGGCGCTAGAGCAGAAGACGGGGACGATGAAGGTCCAAATCAAAAAGGTGCTGAAGAAAGCCGAAGCAGCGCAGCAGGCTCAAGTGGAGTGCAACCAGGCCATGTCCGAATTCTTGAGAGCGCTCCAGGAGGCCTCCATGTCCAATGCAACGGCTTTCAAACCTGCGCTCGACCATTATTTCCTGAATATCGCTCAGCAGATCCTGAAATATGAGAAGGGAAACAGCACGTTATTGCAGAAACAAATCATCGATCCCATTTCGAAGCTGTACAATTTGGACATCAAACAAGTGGAGGCGAAGAAGAAAGACTTCGACGACGAGAGTCGAGACTATTACGCCTATGTGGGCCGGTATCTTGGTCAGAGGCAAGACTCTTTAAAGGACAAAAAACGTGCAGAGAGTGATTCCAAATATCAAACAAAGAGGAAGAACTTCGAGCTCAAGCGATTCGACTATTCGACTTTCATGCAAGACCTTCATGGCGGGCGCAAGGAGCAGGAACTCCTCTCACAGCTCACGAAATATGCTGACGGCCAGGCGAAAGCTTTCCTTGCGACTGCGAAAAAGGTGGAAAGCCTGACCCCGCAGTTGGACGCTCTCGTAAAGGAGGTCTCGGAAGCTGACAAGGAATACAACCTACAAAGGACAGAAAGAGAGGAAAAGAGAAGGAACCTGGAGAAGAATGGCCCAACTTCTGTCGATTCCGACCCGCATCACCATCCTCCACCCATGACGACCCAAGTGGGAACGCAAAATGGTCACACCGGATATACCTCAGACACTGATCTTAGCAGGGCCGATAGCACAAGCTCTCAGTTTGGCCATGCATCGAACAAAACACTGTCGCCAACCACCAACTCAACGGTGCCAGTGGCCGGTGTCCTGTCGACATCGCCAAGCGCAGCCTCGATAGCGCCGGCGCCGAGCAAATTCAAAGGCATTCGTGATCTTGATGAAAGCTCGGTATCCACAACCGACAAATCTTCCGTTGGCCAATACCGGAAAGAAGGACTTTTGTGGGCATTGAGCAAGCCTAATTCACATATCGACCCCAAAGGAGCCTGGCACAAGTAAGCTCTTCACAAAATTGCTCTTTGTGTCAAACTAACGAATTCTAGGTTCTGGATCGTTCTTGATCAAGGGAAGCTCTCAGAATACAGCAACTGGAAGGACAAGTTGGACCTGCATCGCGAGCCAATTGATCTTCGTATGGCTTCAGTCCGCATTGCTCGGGATGCCGAGCGCCGATTTTGCTTCGAGGTCATCACACCCCAGTACAAGCGAGTTTACCAAGCTACGACTGAAGACGAGATGAATAACTGGATCAATGCAATCAACAATGCGCTCCAGAGCGCTGTGGAGGCCGGCGGGCAAGTGCTTCAGCAAGGTCGAAAAGAGCACGCCGGACGTGAATTTGGACATATGCTCACCGGCAAGAGCTCTTCACAGTCTGGCCCGCATGGTTATTCCCAGCGAAGTGACGCGGGGGGAGTGTCACGGCGCATTACCGTCGGTGCTAGGCCCACCTACACCAGGACCAGCAGCAATAGCTACGAAGAAAACCCATCAAAGCTGCTCGATCTGATCAGAAACAACGATCAAGGCAACCAGTACTGTGCCGATTGTGGCTCGTCTTCCAAGGTCGAATGGGTATCTCTGAATCTTGGGATCATATTGTGCATTGAATGTGGCGGAATCCATCGGTCTCTGGGTACTCATGTCTCCAAGATTCGATCTCTCACCTTGGATGTGCACTCCTTCACCAACGACATTGTCGAACTTCTCATGCTTATTGGCAACCGAATCAGCAACATGGTCTGGGAGGCACGGCTCGATCGCTTTCTCAAGCCCGATCCGAGTGCCTCTCGAGACCAACGATTGAAGTTTATTACGGCCAAATATGTCGAGCGGGCTTACGTTGAGCCTGTGTCTCATTACGGATCTGCTGACGACACATTACTGACGTCCATCAAGAAACATGATATTCAGGGAGTCCTTCAGGCCATTGCTCAACGAGCAAATGTCAATGCCCATGACCGTTCTAGGAATACCCATGCGGTATTTCTGGCTCTCACTGCCGCCGATCCAGCACGTCCAGTCTCGTCTCACTCGAACGCACCATCGGGAGCCGTCAAAGCGTTTCCAATGGCCGAGCTGTTGGTGCAGAATGGCGCAGAGATCCCTACCGAGCCCCCGGCTATACCCCTATCGTCCGCTGCGCAGCTGTACGTTGACCAGAGAACAGCGCGAGCAGCTCATAGCCACGGCAGCCACGCGGACACCTTAGGACCCTTGCCCATGGTGCACAGGATTTCACCAATGTCATCTTCCTCGGACGGATCCAACAAGTTGCAAAAACGCGGTAGTGCCGGCGCAAGATTCGCAGGAAAAGTGGCCAGTTTGGGGGAACGATAGTACCGTTACAGGCCAAAAGTGGATGCTGATGTTATGGGGCCGATGCTTTGTGATTCTTTTGAAGGGCTGGACACACCTACGGGTGCCAGCTTGAGGCCGAGGGTTGTGTATCTGGAGAGTGATTCCTCTTGAATACGACTATATGATACATGTTGCAATGATCTGGGATGTTCAACGGGTTAATGAAGTGGTTTTTGGAATGGCTCTGATTGATCCGTATTCTTCGATGGGGCCAAGGATCATGGCTAAGCTATGAAATCTATGCAGCATAGGAGGTTGGATCTTTGAGTTGACGGAGTGTGAGCCAAGAGCAATCGACGGGAAAACCGGCCGGCAGGCAGCTTCTTGACGGGGCCGACTTCATCGACCCACAAGACGGGAAAAGGAAAACTTGGATAAATGGCTTTTGGAACAGCATAAGACCATGCAGATGTAATTTAATGATGAGTATCAAGTGCTATTTATTTAGTGGATGCGATGAGGCATATCATTGCCTATATATGGTTTGAAGGTAAATATATCTATTTTTGATTCCAGAGAAGAGAGACTTAGCAAGGGAATGAACTTCCAGTGTAGGTAGCGCCTACCTGGTAGGTAGGGTCGACATCGTTCTGCATTGTAAGTATAGTTCCTTCTTCCTGTATATACATAGATGTTTGCCCGGTTAGGGTCACTCCTTGCGGTTGGGGGTTGCCGCTTTGGAGAAGTAGGAGAAGTAGGAGAAGCCTGTAGTCTTCTTTGGTACCGTCTTTGCAGTCTCTCTTTTCACATTCTTCGCATTTCGCACACAACACATCAATGCGGAAGAGGGCCGGGATACATGGAAGGGTGTCGCTGCCGGCGAGGGTGTTTCGGTGTCTTCTGTGCCCTTCCTTGTGCATCGTCAACAAGCAGACCAGGCTGGCCTTGACTTTCTGTCGTCAATATAGGGTCTGCAGTTGTCTGACAAAGAAGTCCCCCCTACCTTGCACTTTGTTGGTCGCTTCATACAAACATTTGCTTTTTCGACGTTGAAGACTTGTGTCTCTGCTCTCTTTTCCTTGCGTTAACCGTGTGTCACTCAATCAGAGGGAGTCATCCGCCTGCCAGACGGTTTGCCGCTCAGTTTCTCGATCTGTTGTGCGGAGGGTCTTTCCCTTCCATATCTACTTTTGGCGACTCATCACCTCTGCGACTAATATCCACGTTCAACAGGCGTGTTTGTGACTCTTGGAGGAAAAATCAGGACGCTTTTGCCCTTTCTTCGGATTTATTGTTCTTCTCCCCGTTCTTCAAAAGATCCTCGACCCTCATCTTTGCATCGAGGTCGGGGGGAAGGCATGAGCGCCCGGACGAGATTCGAGGAAGGACGCAGCTCGTCTTGTCAACAAGCATGTAATTTCGGCGCTTCTGGGGAATGTAGATCGCGATCGAAATTCAGGGCTAAGTCAAAAGTTGTGGGAGATTGCACTGCATCGCAAGTGAAGCCAGGAGGTCATTGGATTTCCGGTGCAGCCCCTGGATTTTGAGGACAATGCGGTGAAGTGAACGCGAGTGAGCCATGATAGGAATGCCAAAATAATTCAGGGGAATCTCCAGGTGATCATGCAGCCTTCTATGGTAAGGACCGAGCTTGCAAAGACAGACTAACTAGGGCCCCAGCACAATGAAGCCAATACAGACGCAGGAGAAAGGAGTCGCGGCAATGCATCCAACAATGGAAGGTGACAGGAAATGTGGATGGGGAGGAGTTGATACAAAAATGTTGTTTGGGGGGGAGGGGGGGGAGTGAGGCACGACAAGCGAACTCGGGGAGGAGACAGTCGTGCTCCAGGAGTATGAGAGGTTGATTCTTCGGGAAGAAACCACCAATAACGCTCCACAACTGCCCGCATGGAAATTTTCGCAATGCTGCCATGCTGCCCATGAGGTTGTCCTAACCTTCAGCATCGTAAGCTCACAATGCAGCTCCAGATTCTGGAGAGCCGCCAACTGAGTTCAGAAAGACTAGGGCCATCAGAGCGGGTCGGAGAAGCCTGGAGCAAGTGCATGATAAAGAATGATTGGTGACTTGATACAGAACCGTTAGAAATCAGAGCGGGTAGAGCAAAAATGGCGGCTAGATCGCGAGATACAGCGCCCATCGGAGATGGATCTCTTAGGCTTCACCACAAATCAGTCAAAGCAGTTCCATGAGCGCCCCTTCTTGGCGAGGGGCCTATATGGAGCGAATTCAAGGCTCAGTGAAGCATTGGATAGCCACGTTTGCAGGAAGCGAGCTTTGAATACCCAAAGTCTTAACTTTTAGCTCTAGCCTCGCAAGTGAAATGCTGGTCGAATCCTTGGAGGGCCAATGAGGCCTTTGAGCGAAGAAACTGTGACGTCCAGAGGACACTAAACACCATTCGTCACGCAGGGGGGCATAGGAATTGTGAGCACAGAGAGCGGAACAGGTATTCCACACACTGGTCAGTAAATACTTACCTTCCCTCAGGAGCCTTTCAAGAAGGCTCTTTCCGATGCCATTAGTACCTATGGGGCCTGGACTAATTGCGCATGGGCAGGGTGGAGATCCGACTGCCCTGAATGCAGAGTCGGAGGCTTATGCTCTCAGTAAGAGTTCGTTCCGGAACGCCAGTGCAGTGATATGACAGGCTGAGTTGATGGAGCTCGTCTGCTCAGGGCGAGGAGCTCGGATACCTTGTTGAGCAAATAGATTCTTGAGAGCGAGGACCGCCCTGAATGCGTCTGAGAAGTGGCGGCCTGAGGCATCCAATGATTTATATTCTGGACCGATGAGAAAAGGAGGCTCTCCCCAGATGCCAGCCGTGATGCTCTGATTGGTCCCAATGACATTGCCGGCCGACCCTTTTATTGAAGCCGTTGATTCTCGGTCTGTTAGATTCTTGCAGATTTCATCCATTCGAAAGGACAGTCATCGTTACCCACAATTCGGTGCAGATGCGAAGCGTATGTGAATTATTTGGTGGGTTGATAGTGGGCAGCTTCAACATTTCGAGAAAAGACGATTCTGTATGATGATTGGCTTAGCTGAGATGGGAGGCCACCCACATTCCGATGCGATAATTGGCTGCCAGTGCTTTGCCACAATGAGTTCCATCGGCATTGGGAGCATCGACCAAGAGCCTGAAACACATTGTTATCATCCACGCGTCGTAGAGAATGTTGGGCCGGGCCGCTCAACCTCTCCAGCCGGTGTGGTCTGATTTTCTTCGCAGAGAGGGTGTTTTCTCGGCAGTTACACTGCCTTCGTTCCTGCCACCGTCGCCGAAAGTACCTTCAATACGAAAACCTCTTTACGAGGCGTGCAACGTACAGGGCGAACCGGTGATCATTTCCTTTTAGATTCTTGCAGAGAGACAATATCGGAGACGCCGACTTTTGTTTGATGATCGTATCCCTAACTAGTATGGGGTTTCGTGGAGGGAGGATCGAGTCCATGTCGTACAGGTACAATGCCGAAATCGAGCGTTCAGGGCGTGGACGTTGCTTAGCGTGAAACGCGCCCAACGCTAGCTAGAGTCGTGTGGGAGGGCAACGTCGGGCTTGCACAAGATATTGTAGACGGGTCGGGGAAGCAAAGAAGCGGGTGGCGAATACATGAGGTCCAAAAAATTTGATTCAACCGGGTTCCATCTGGCACAGGCCCTATTGACCGGGACGATGGTGCAAGGTTGACTAGCTCAAGTCCCTGAGGCCAGTCGGAAAGCTGCCACGGTGTCAGAAAAGAACCGAGGGAGAGGTGTCTCAGTTACCTCCTCGCCAGTCGACATATGGCACTGTGGTTCTAATTATGGCATAGGTAGGGGCAAATGAAGAGATGGCAATGAGCATTACGGTGAAAGACTTACAGAGCGGTTCCTGTGCTAATTTGGCGTGTCAGGCCGTCCGAGACCGGCAGAAAGGATTTTCGGGGAGCACAGAAGTGCTGGTAAGCCGTATTGGACACGTCTTTGCGTTTTTGGGGCGATCAGCGGATCAGAGGCCAGAAAGTAGAAGTGATAGCCGCAGACGAACAGGACGATCAAAGAATGAGGTTGGAACAAGGATGTTTGTGGTGCCAAGGCCGTGACACAAGTTCGGCGCCACGCTCGATAGATTTTCCGCTCCGGATCTCGCTTTACCTTCTTCAGTATCTTGAGCAGATGGGATTTCTTCAACAATTGCATCTTTTTGCGTCTCCATAATTTTTTTTTTTCCCAGGGGTCAAAGCAAGACCCTGATCCGGAATCCTGGAGAACGAAAGCTGCTCAGCCACAAGCAAGGGTCCAGCCACTCACTCGGAACGCGCATCCTCGGATCTTCTCTTGATGACAAAAGAGAAGTTCGTTAGTAGTGCTGTTCCCGCCACACGATCGACATCTGCCGTCCGAGACGTCGTTGTTGCCACCCAACACTGGATCCGCGAGGACCATTGAAACGGCCAGCCACGAATTCGGGTCAGAATTTGCCGATTGACACGGGACGGACTGCGCAAAGGTGATGATCAATTTTGGAACTTGGTCGTTCCTGCATCGTTCTAACAATAGCAGGCCTCGCTGTGCATATTGATCGTCTCCAGATGATGCCATCCTTCACGTCATACTGCGGTTTCGGACAACGCGCACAGCTATTCAGAAAGAGAATTTTGTCAGCGGTCTAAGAGCTCTGGAATATCCCTGCGCCGAGCCTTCTAGAGGGTTGGCCCATCTTAACCCACGAGAATGACTCCCCGTGCAATACCGCCTCTCTCTGCGCTCAGAGATGGAAAAGTTTCCCTTGGACAGCGGGGCGTGTTCCACTGTAATGGAGAGCATCCCTACAACTTCGTAGCCGATCGTGGGAGCGCCAGAGGGAAGCACCTTGTACGATTTGCAGAGGCAGCAATTCTCGCGTTAAGTTTTGCGAAGAGGACAACAAGACGTAAGATAAGCTTTGCTGCGGTGCTGCTTCGATAACGAAAACCGTGTCCTATGAAGCTATGACGTTAAATGTCACATTTGGTGCCATCACCTATGAGTTTACAACAGAACGCTGCAGTTCTCGTCAGATCCACTTCTTCCTTTCTGGAGCGGATCCAGATCGCCGCAGAAGCCGAGCAGTGGAGCAAAAGAGTAACAGCATTGGAAACGTGGCTTGCCTTTCTTTTCCTTTGGCGGTCCAGAACATCGCGACAAGCTCCAATCCAAGTTTTCCTCGCGCCCACCTAAGCCCCGAACCTCCGCACCTCGACAGTTACCAGCACCACCTGGGTGTCAGCTGAAAGTTGCAGTGCAAAATTGTATCTGCTGACGGGAACCGATGTTGGCCCTTGGCTAGAACGTCCTAGCTGTACTAGACATGCAGGACCGCTGCCTTTCCGGCTGGCGTCGCCCCGTTCTGATGGGCACGCAATCACTGCAGCAAACAGGCTTCACAAAATTAAGTGGAACGGTACCCGGGGTGTGTCCCTAAGTATTGCAATAAGCGATGGACAGGCGACTCACCTATCGAGCGAATTAGGCCACGAGGCATACCTTCTCCGACTCTACAACCCCTGTTGCACGTCGCCACACTTCTGACTAGGGCTTCGTGGCTCAGCGGATCCCTTGGCGGATACCGGTGTACTCGCTAGTATTTTCCAGTCTTTTCTTTCCAGCTCCTTTTGCCTGGCAATCCCCCTGGATCCAATGTCGAGGAATACGAACGAGGTACAGGAAAAATCCATTTGGATCGCCCAAAGTTGTGGCGGTCCTGGCTTCCAAGATGAGATGGAGGGGGACAAGCACAGCCCAACGACTTTTTCCAATCGATCCACATGTTATCGCTGGGCAAATGGTGCGAAGGACTCCTTCCAGCCCTGCGGACCTCACATGTTGGACTTGTTCTGTTTACGACCCCCAGCTAGGGTGCGATTCTCGGGTGACAGTTCTGGAAGGAGCAGTCTTCAGCCACTTTTAATCCAACGGTAACATGCTCCCCAGGCCCAGATCAACCGCCTTTCGCCAGGACTGGTTGTCGCGCGTTACCGCCGTCTCGTTCTATATCCACACTTGTCCGTTTACTGTTTACTGGTATCCCAGTATCGCATGTCTGATCCGAACCAATACGCGCGCTTGATTTTGACCGTTCCGTTCACCGTTGACAAGCAGGGAATGCGCCGCCCGTCCTTTCGCTCCGGGTAAAATCTCCCTGGATATTCTCTCTTGTGAAGAACTATCGATCCTCGGCATCCTCTCAGTCTCTGATATTGCGATACGGTTGGTGTCTTTCTCAGTCCTACTCATCTACGCCCAGGACAAGGGCTCTATCCTCGCTACCCCAATCATACTTTGGCCTACTCGTTTGTCCACCAGCTTCGGGTGGACCCCGAAGCCGTTGTCGAATTTTACTAGCTATGTGATAAAGGCTTGAGTAGAATGTGCGTCGCTATGCCCCCCCCGTCATTAACGTCCATGCCGCTCAGGTCAGATATGAGACACGGTTCGACATGAGTCCCTTTCTCACCAAAGCTCATCTTTTGCGAAAAAACCTCAAGACCAATAGTTCTGACTCGTCCTTTTCCCCTTAGCCCTGTGAAACATCCCAGAGAACCCTTGTCGAGCACGCTCATTTCCAAATTTGGCGCCGAGTTGGCTGTTTCATTTCCTTTCTCGAACAGACGAACGGGAGAAAAGAATTCTCAACAGAATCCCATTTAATCACCAACGAGATCATTCGGATCCCTCCTGATCCGTGCTCAGCCTCCTGCTCAGTTCGAGCAAGATTGACCGCACTTATACCTTAGGTATACCTATTTGAGGTACTTCCTTTTGGCGCTTAATTCGTTGTGTCTCACCATCAAGGCAATATGGACTGACCGATGGCTGTCTTTTGGGTACAGCATTACTATACACTTCCCATTATATTTGAGGATTTCGGCATGGGCGAAGAGCCTCCGCTTCGACACAATCCCGGATTGCATGACAACGACGAGCATCTATCAAAAGGCTTGTAAATGTCCCAGTTGTGGCGGTTGACCGGACTAATATTTGCAGATCGGCCACCACAAACTTCTCTATCCGTTCTGAACGCCCCTTCGGGACAGCCCGCGAATATGGAGTTTGAACCATATCCTCAACAACAGTTTCCCATGGGAAGTTTTGCGAGCACCGCGACGCTCGATATGTCGGCTGTCACAGCTGCATTGCCAGAGTACCCAATGCGCCAGTTTCAGCAATCGCTATATACGCAGCCTTATCAGCAACACTCTGCTGCCACCAACCCGTCGATGATGTATCAGTATCACCAAGGCGCGCAGTTTGGCGGCCAGAGCGCCACTCATATCAACCCTTCATTTACTCAGCAGTACCCGTCACAATATGGGCAAGGCGCGCCTTCACGACAGCAGCAGCAAGGAGTGGCCTATCCACACTTCGTCGGCAATCCAGGAGGCCCAGGTGGTCCTCAACCGTACCCAAATCAAACATTCGTGGTACAGCAGCCGATGATACATAATGCCAATGCGGCCACTCAGCCTCTTCAGCATCCTCAGTTTGCACAGGCCCGTGGGACCGCAGCCTACGTTGCGCCGTACGGCTCCAGGGTGCCAACTGCCTATCCACTACCACAACTGCGACTCGACAACAGCCTAGCACAAACCCAGCCACTGAACTTTTATCCACAGCCCAATTCTCAAGGTAGGGGACACCCCGCAGTTCTAGGGAGTCCGTGGGTAACTGACGCTTCTGACCTACACAGCAGTCAGGAGATCTAGCTCGAGTTCGTCTCTGCAAACATCGGTGCTCAGGGGCCCGCCGAGGAAACCCAAGCAATCTGGCCATGCTCTTTGGGTTGGCAACTTGCCGCCTGCGACACATATAATTGACCTTAAAGACTATTTCTCGAAAGATGCGACGGACGACATAGAAAGTGTCTTCCTGATCTCGAAGAGCAACTGTGCCTTTGTGAACTACAAGACTGAGGCTAGTTGCGCAGCGGCCATGGCTCGCTTCCACGACTCTAGGTTCCAAGGAGTGCGACTGGTTTGCAGGTTACGACGTGGGAGCTCTTCAACGGCAACACCAACGCAAGGTGTGGCGCAACAGCCAACCGCGCCCACCGACGCAGGGAACGAGGAGGACGGAGTTGGCAAAGAAGCAGCTGTGGTTGATGACATAATAACAGCAGAACCAGAACCTATCGAGAAGGTGAAGGAGAGGTTCTTCGTGGTGAAAAGCTTGACCGTTGAGGATCTGGAACGCAGCGTCGTCAGCGGAATATGGGCAACACAGGCCCACAACGAGGCCGCATTGAACAATGCCTATCAAGTGAGCATGCAGTCCATTATCCGAATTGACCTTATTGCTGACAAATGTTAAGACTTCAGAGAATGTATATCTCGTCTTTTCAGCAAACAAGTCTGGCGAGTACTTTGGATACGCTCGGATGGAGTCGGCGATTGGTGATGAAGCGGCCGCGAATATCGATTATCAACCTCGACCAGAGGCGCGAGAACCCAGTCCTGCGGACCTGCCACTGACCATACCAACACCAGCTACGGCGACCGCACCCAAAGGACGGATCATTGACGATTCGGCCAGAGGTACAATTTTCTGGGAGGCAGACATTGAGAGCAAAGAGAAAGAAGAGCAGCACACAGACGATGACGCCGGAAATATTTCTGGGGAAGGTTATGAATCAACCAGTCCCGCTACACCACAAACCTTTGGGAAACCATTCAAGATTAAGTGGATGTCCAACGACCGTCTACCGTTCTACAGGACAAGAGGCCTTCGAAACTCTTTCAATGCAAACCGCGAAGTGAAGATTGCTCGAGACGGGACAGAGATTGAGCCTTCCGTTGGCCGAAAGCTAGTCAATATGTTTCATCGCCCTCCGCTTCCATCTGTGAGTCCTGGGGTTACCCGGCCACCACAACCTCATCAAGGACCTTTGGGTGGGTTCATGTACGGAAGGAGTTACTGATGTATTCTTTTATGATTTGTTTCGATGCGGATTCGTCATTTTGATGTTTCATGTTTGTACGACGACATGATGCGACGACAAGAAAAGCAAGAGTAGCGTCAAATCAGAGCAACAATACGGAGGCCGTTGACTAGGTATTCCGACACAGTCTCTTTTCCTCTCGCTCTTTTTCGTTGAGGAACAAAGCACACGATAGCCAAGCTTGGCAGGCCGAGCCTTCTTTCAATTCATGGTGGATGGGGTTCCGGTGACCGTTATTGAGTTGAAGAAAGACTGATTGAGAGGGAAAGGGGGAGAGAATGTAGGGGCCAGTAGGGAAAATGCAGGAAGAGGAACACATAATGTATGTATGAGTCTCTCGTTCACCGAGGTCGAGGATTGACAGTGCTTCTGGATTGAGAATCATCGGCTCCCTGATGAATCGAGCTCCTGGACCAAATCCACAAAGTCCTCATCTCCTGCTGCTGCCAGCTTCCGAAACTCGTCCATGTTTGCTTTGAGCCATTCGGCTTCCTCGCCCACCTTTGTCATTGCAGATTGAACATTAGCATAAAAAAAAAAACAAAACGGGGGGGGGGGTCAGTGAGAGAAGAGAAGAGAACGCAACGAGGCTTCGCACTCGTGACTCACTTTTGGCCTGGCGATACCACACTCGACAGCTGTGGTCAAGGCGGCCATCACCCACACGGTCCTCAGCCCCAACTCACCTTCTTTGCCCACAACTTCTTCCCACACCCTGACAATGTCGCGACAGTGCTCGTCGTAGAGTTCCTTGGACCGCTGCTCGCCGGATCTGGTGCGCAGGATGACGCGGTTGTAGACGGCTCTCCGGCCGTTGCGGAAGACGACCTGCTTGCTGGAGTCCGTGTAGCGGACATTGAGGAAGAAGCCGGGCGTCTTGAAGCGCATCGCGTGCAGGTTCGTCAGCGCCTTTGCGAGGGCCGATTGTTGGTCTGGTGTCAGGGGCGTGACGTGCTCGACGTCGTAGAGAGGCATGTTATTTATTGATGACGATGATGGTGGTGGTGATGGCGGCTTTTGTTTCGGGTGCCTGCTCTCTCGCCGCTGAGGATAGGATAGGATAGGATAGGATAGGATAGGACGCAAAGATTTTCGTATTCAGTCCAGTACGCAAGATGGACAATAAGGGAGTCAACATGGATGGAATTGATGTTCTGGGTTTGCCGGTGAAAACGCCGACGGCAACCGGCATACATCCACAGGATTTGAATAGTAATACATATATATATATATATATAACTCCTCCTGTTAGATTTAGTCAGCGCCTCTGAACCAACTTTCCACCCTCACTTCCTGCACGCCTCAGGTGCTGGTTTTCTGCTTTATTGTGTCATGATCAATTTATTCACCTGCCTACATCATCACCTCTGTTTACATGGCTGTGCGCGGTAATTCCCCGTCATTTGATGGCATAGATCTGATATGAAGCCACCCATTCATTGAAGTCCAGCTTCCGAGCGGGCTCCGCGTTCTTGGTGCAACATGGCTTGCTACCATTCTTCTCCACGCAGCAGGCGCTGTCTGTGTTCTTGTCACAACAGCTCTTCGACCCCGTCTCCTCCATGCAGCAAGACGCCGTGCCATCCGCGTCCTGGTAGACGTTCAAGTCTTTCTCGGTGTTGATGAAGGCAATGCTATCCTTTCGAAACCCGGCTTCCTCCATCCAACGCCGGTATTCGTCCACCAGGCTGGCGCCCGCCACGCAGCCAACCAGCAGCGCCGCGTCGCGACGGATCTGGTTTGGCATGGGTTTCTTTGCGAGAAGGTCACTGATTGCAACTCTGCCACCAGGCTTCAAGAGCCGGTGGATTTCTTTGAAGACGGCAGGCTTATCCTCGTCCGGAACCAGGTTGATGACGCAGTTACTGACCACCAGATCGACCGTAGAATCCTGAAGGGGAATTTCCGTGATTGGTGCCAGGATGAACTCCACGAGACCCTCGGGCAAGTTGGCTTTGGCAGCGTTCTTCCTCGCCAACGCAATCATGGCCTCGCTTCTATCAATCCCGTATATCTTTCCGCTCGGGGTGGGGTTTCCTTTCAGTATTTGCCTCGCGGCGATGAGACAGTCGAGCCCGCCTCCGGATCCGAGGTCAACCATATTTTCAGAGGGCTGGAGGTTTGCCGTCGCCAGGGGGTTTCCGCATGACAGACCAAGGTTCGTCCCGGTGGGGAGAGATGCCAGATCCTCTGCCGAATATCCAAACGATGCTGCGATTTGGGTACTTTTGGAGTCCTGGGCGTCGCTCTCATCCACCTGCGAGGCGACCTTGGAGTACCTGGTGTTGACCGTCTGGTAAATTGTTGCGGCGTCCATGGTGACCCTTGTGGCGAAGCTTAACACAACGTCGAACAGAGTATACAAAGCAGAGTGATACCGCCAACTGTTAAAACTCTCAGTAGTGGATATTGGATCTTACCAAGTACACTGTTCGATTCGAGGGGGTCATGCTCAGAATTATAGGCGTAGCGGTGTGTCACGGTCCCCCAGCTATTGGCTTGCAACTTGACGAAACGCGCAAGTGCTAGCACTCAGCAATTGAAGGAGCGAATACGACCGGAGTGAAACGGCAAGGCAGACGTTCAGGATCACGACCATGGTATGTAGCACCTGAGGTGTTTTCGAGTGTTTACCGAGTTGCCAATCGTGGAAGCATGAAGCGACAAATCACGGGCCGCCGGTGACTGCTTCTTGGCGGCTTGGCGCTGCGCTTGTCCTGACCAACATGACGCAGAACATTAACTCGGTGCCACCACCACTAACAAACAATCCTCCTCGACCCCTCTGGCCCCCCTCTGGCCTCTCCAACCAATTTGCCATCACCAACAATCGAGTTCACGTATCTTCGAGCTCATCTCCTAAAAAGGAAGTTTCTCTCTCGTCCAACCGTCAGCTGACCAGCGCTGGCCGCTTCTAGGGTCTCGTCGTGCGTCAGGACCTGATGAACGGAAGCGCCCCGCCAATGAATCATGAACATCAACGAATTAGTACTTACAGACCGAACCGTGATGAGCCTGCAAGAATCAACATCTCGGCAGAACCTGGACTCTCCATCCTTATCAATGACTTCCCTCCAACCGCTAGCCCCGAAAGATGCTTCACCAATAAAACGCAACACGATTAACCAAAGACGCTGTCGTGCCCGACGCCAGGATTACATTGAGGACCTAAAGCGCCGGCTACGTACTTACGAGACTCAAGCCATCCAAGCTACTGCAGAAGTGCAGGCGGCAGCCCGGAATGTCGCTGACGAGAACCATGCCTTGAAAGAGGAGGTCAAGGCTTTGAGGAAGCAGAATGAGGCGTTGCAGACGTCCTGGGAGGAGCGTTTCAGAAGCCTGACGCAGAAAGCCGCCGAGGAGGACCGTGCCTTGAGAGAGGAAATCAAAGCTTTGAGAGAGCAGAATAAGTTGTTGCAAAGGTCCTGTTCTCAGCCCTATAGTAGTGCGACGCGGAACCAGGACAAAGTGGAAGGCCCTATCGTCGCTGATAGACAACAGAAAGAGAGACAGCCCGGAGCAAGAAAGCGCCGGGTGTTTGACGGGAAGGTATTTGAGACGGGTATTCCTTTCACGGCGTTGCCGGCACTACCTCATCAAGATCACGAGACGCACGCGGGGCCTACCAGTATGAAAATCCCCGTTTCGATGACATCCAGGTTTCGGATTCCACCGCGAAACCTGTCCAGACCGCCTCCGAACACACTCCAATCTCATGACGTTGCTCTCACAGATGACCATGCTCAAGAAGAAGACATTCTGGCTTCACCCGATGAAGAAGACGGCTCTTCCACTCTCATGCCGTCCCCTCCGTTTTCGAATTTCGCGACCTCAGATCCTGACGACCTAGCTTCAACACCTCATCCTCCCTATTCACCTCCATCTCCAGCCATCTCTCCCTTCCAATCCAAGTCAAGACTCTGCGGGCCCGCCCGCACGGCGAACAGCACGCCCTGCCTCGAAGCCGCCCTCATCATCGCCAGTATGCGGGGCGTGCCCGCCCACGATATTACAGTGGAGACGGAAATTCTCCCTGAACTTGGTTGCCATGGCCCTCTTTCGCGGCCGAAATGTATATCGCCCAAAGACTGCAGGGGACACGGGCCTGGCCACGGGCAAAGCCAGCCTGGGTCTGGAGGTATCGACACCATTAGCGAGGGTTTGAGTGCGGGCAACGGAAGCGAAGCAGAAATGGGACCCTCTATCTGTGCGGTCGATAATAGGAAATTATTTGGGATTCTGGCGCGGGAGGGGTAAGAAGAGAGAGTTAAAAAAAAAAAAAGGAGAGAACGGATGTCTCGGAGGAGATTTTTTCCTTTCCTTTTCTACGACAGATATGGATGCTCCAGTGTATGACCAGAGACAACGCAATGATCTATGACCCCCCAAAAAGGAACAGGTAACAGAAAAGGCATTGAAACAGGGAAGCATACGAAACGAAAACAAAGGAAACAAAAAAGGGGGAATCGTTTTGTGCTTTCTTTCTAAGTGCTCATAGCTGCACTGAAAAGAATTTCGGCAATTAAGTTACTATTATACTTTGTCGAGTCGGTCTAATCTGATCTGAACTCGTGTTGGTAATGATGCAGGTAGAGAAGGAGAAGGAGAAGGAGAAGGAGAACAGGAATCAACGAAATTGATATGTTCAGAGATAGGGCATGCAGATGCAGCTAGGTACCTGGGCAGAGAGAGCAGGCCGAACGACTTGATTGAATACCTACCTACATCCTAAACACCTATATACATATCTGTGTTCATGCGCAGTGTGTATCTATATACTGTAGTACGGTAGCGTATATCCAACCAACACTGTCAGCGTACCTAGGTACACTGTCCGGTACACCGGAGTACATGCAAATATGCCTTGATGGCGCTGATATATCCATCTTACATCTGATATCAGCGTATGAATTCCATATGTTTCAGGTACCGACTGCCATATCATGACATCTTTGTAGGTCGCGAGTCAAGCATCTGGGCAATCAAGTCCGTTTTGTTCCCTTGTGGCCATCTATGTACATGCATGGGCATTTAACATGGACGTATGTCCCGAGCGGTTCTCCTTTTCTGTTTCAGCCTCGCCGCGCTTCCTTCGCCTCCGTTCCCTCAAAACTACTTAGTACCTAGGCATTGCCAGGCATCCGGAGCTAGTCACTCCAGCGGCGTCGCGTGGCTCACCTCAGCACGGGAGCAAAGCTGAGGAGCTCTTCTCGGATCAATTCAGGTGAAATGGCAAGTGTCTTGTCATTGCGCGATAAACTGTGTCGCGTCGCTTTCATTCTCTGGGGGGTATCGGTTGAATTCATGCCTCCCATCGGATCCATAGCCTTGTTGGGGCTATTTATCCTCATTTTGAGGCTAGTTGTACACACATGATCCGACATCCACCCTTTCCATGATTAATTGCCGGGATCTAAAGAAATTTTCATAACGACAGCTCACTAAGCCCACTTCCCGAGCAATGCCATGAGTCCTGCACCAAGACACATGGTCACAAAAGCCGCCATGACTGTGCGGATACTCGCTTTGCGCATTGAGCTGCTGAACATGAACTCGTGAGCCATCAGCTCCACCAACCCCGTGTAGATCAGGATGCCGGCAGACACCGAGTCAAAGACGCCATTGACGATGAGTGTCGTCTGGGAATTAGGAGGATAGCTCTTCCGCACTCCCAAGCCGATGGCAATCGCCAGAGGAGTACTGAGGCCATAGGACAACGCTAAGACGTAGGGGGTCCATCGTCGGCCTTTCGGCCAAGGCGTTACGGCGAGCCGGGATCCCAAACCGAGGCCCTCGAAGGTCTGGTGAAAAATAATGACGATGAAAAGCGTGTCAAACTCGCTGCCGGCCACAGCAAGTGTCAGGCCGATGAAGATGCTGTGGAAGATGATTCCGAATTCGAGGATGAAAATGGCCGTCATTTGCGCTTTGTAGTCTTCGAGGCTGAACGGGCTGGCGGCCTCCTCGATTTCGCTGTGTTCACGAGCATGGCCCATGTGATCTTCTCCAGGCACATGCGTACTTTGAGACCGCGACACCCGCGTGGATAGAGGCAGGCTCACCGAGTGGGGACTGTCTTTGTAAGGCGATGAACCCGGTGCGGGAGTCATTTCCGTGTCGGTTGTCGACCTGTCCAGGTCGATCACGTGTGAATGAGAATGAGAATGTGCATGTGCATGTGCATGAGCATGCCCATCGTCACCGTGATCGTGATTATGTGCACCGCCAAAATTCCCATATCTCATGACCATCAATTCAATGAAAAAGAGAACAAATATGGTCATCAAGACGATACCTTCGGCCCAGTCGTATTGTGTTATGGGCCCGGTAAGGCATGGATCCGTTAATGCATCGGTCGCAGGGGCTAGGAGGTGGATGAAGGCGGTTGCGATAATGACACCAGACCCAAAGTACTTGCAGATGAAGAACACCCACTCTGGCACCTTTAATCCTCGGTGCCGGTTTGCAAAGATGGGAAAGGCGGCGCCTATCGACGAGGTGATCCATATTATGAAGAGGGCGGCAACTCGTAAGCCGATGCGGCCGTCGTAGCCGTTGCCGGTATCACAAGCTGGGGTTGCTCCAGAATCATCTTGCCGAACCATCAGGTGAACGAAGGACTCGAGGTTGGACATTTCGGTGCAAATAGCGCGCGGAAACGGCTAGCCGCAGGTTGCGACAGTGTGGCCTCAAGGAGTGAAGCTGCCGGGGAGCTGCACAAGGTGTGCGAGGTGTGGTTGGAGTGAGTTATTTCGATTATGCGTGAACGAGCCGTGGTTTTTGTGCTATCTGAGATGCTGAAAATCCTTACAGGCGAGGTCGTCGTCTTTCGGAAAATACGAGCAGGAATTTGAGGCTTGACTCCACCAGATCCAGATCTTTGTGAGAGAAGGGTTGAGAGCAAGACTAACGAGGCGCGACAGATGGCCTTCACGAGATACGGACTTGCTACCAGGGTTTCTTTTTTTCTTTTTTTTTTTAATCCAGAGGCAGTTCTCAGTTCTCAGATCTTCCACCCCGCTCCACCGAGAGGGGAGGAAGGAGGCAGTCGTCACATTCCAGTTCTTAGTCAGTGCAACCACCCAAACCACCCAAACCACCTTGTGCCTGTGACAAAGCAGTGAAGCAGCAGCAAAAAGTGAGGACCTTAAAGAAGAGGACAATGGAGGGCAGTTCATTGGACGAGGCTGGTGGCATGGCACCCCCACACTCCCCACGCCAGCGTTGATTGGAGGTTGTGGAAATCGTCATCGGCAGGCGCGGCAGGTACCCGTCACCAGTTCGTCCCACCGTCCAATCATTTCGATCCAGCTGACAAGGCTGTCCCTTGGCGTCCCTTAGCGTGCTACCATCTTAAGGTCCTCACTTTTCCTCAGCCTATTCCCTTCAAGTAGTGACTGCTATCACTTCATTCTGTGATTTTATGTACCTACAAGTATTTTACAAGTTTATCATCATCATAGTCCAAGAAGCACGCCTGCTTCGCCAAATCCGCGTCTTCTCGATACAGAGCGTCCCCATCGAGGCACCGGTAGCAGCCCTTGGTAAACTAGCCAGGCCATCAGTCCCACGGTCGCCACACTTGACGCCACAATCTCCAGATACAAACCTCGCCGTCTCTGGAGCCTCGCCAGCTGCAGCTGTTTCCCTCGGTGTCGTTCTCGCCCCGATGCATGCGTGTTGCCGATCTCCGAGACCCCGTACCCAGATCCTATGACGGGGATCGAGCTAATGCACCCCTCCACAACCGCCTGCACGACTTGTGGAAGACTGCGAGAAGCTGGTGCTCGCCATGGTAAGGGCGACTCGGCCGGTTCAAGCCCAGGCTTCCGTCCCAGGACCCAAGAGACATCGGGTGGCGGACCGAACACTTCCGCAGCCCGACTTGTCACCCACTTGTGTAGAATCGCGTGATTCCGCTGTAGAGACTCCCGCAGCCATCCATGCTCTAGTGCTGGCGTCTGCATCAACACCAGGTAGCCGACCGCCAGACAATCAGCGCTGCAGGCTTGGTCACCCAGTAACCAGTTCTTCTCCCCCAGCATTTCACTCAGGGGTTCAAAGAAATCTTCTGTGACAGCGTCTAGTCGAAACCGGTTCTTTTGCTGGTGCCGGCCTAGTAGCCCCGTGACTGTTTGTCTGGGTTTTCTCAGAGACTTGGGAATATGCGCGGTCAGGCCTGTATCCGCTCTCTTGTCCTCCTCCGCCTGTGCACTGTCCACATCCAGACTGTCCAGACCTAAATGTTCAGACCTCTTCTTCGCTTGTGCCCGCCATTGATGCGGCAAAGTCCAGCTCTTTGGCCATGTCAAGATATCACTGAGGGCTTGTCTCGTGCAATTAAGATAATTGTCGCTGCTCACATAGAGGCTGAGATCGAGGAGAGGTTGGCCGCGTGACGCGATGAAGGTTGAAAATGCCGCGCAGTCTGCTTGTTGCTGGGCATTGAGGTGTTTGTTTAGGTCTCGTTCGCCATTGGAGGTCTCAAGGAGATAGTCGACAATGTTGGTGAACCCAGCGACCCAAGTCTCGCCATCGCGTAACGCAGGGAGTTCTGCCAGAGGACTGACTCGAGCGTCGCTCGAGGGAATCAGCACCCAGTGGTCAAGTGGCAGGCATTGGCGAAGGTAGAAGATTGCAGCTAGACATTGGGCATCGATAGAAGGAAGCTCGAACGCTGGGCCCCAGACATGGAGTTCAAACACCATCTTCGAGCCACATTTTCTGCCGTGATTCAAAGCAAAAGCTCGACCCGCGTAAATCCTGCAGTCGAATTGCACACTGCCGTTTTGAGCTTAGTCTCTACGGTGGGTTGATGTAGACACGAAATGCTGACTTTGGCCAGCCTTTGGCCTACCAGGTTGAACCTGTACAAAGTACCGAGTCCGGAGGCACATACCCCAGCCAAGTGTGACCTCAAGTAACTGTACGATAACATCTACAACAAACTCAGACAATTCTCTCAATAAAAAGTAAAAAAATATTCGCATGGAGTCAATGAAATGAAGCACGTAGTGTATCAGCACGTCAGACGACGAGGCTACCGCTTCACACGAGGAGAAACATACCCTTGAGACTATGAGAAATGTAGGGGAAATATTCCGTCAGACAAAATCCGCTTAAAGCCTTACTACTTGGCAGTAAAAATTAGAGTCAAAACTGCTCACCTTCACACTTACCCTTCATCCTGAACCTACTCCACCGCGTCCAGCACCAGCGAGGATCCAAAATTAGCAGCGTGCTAACCTAGTTCCCTATGTGACGCCTTTTCGACTTTCGACCACTTTCCCGTCCCCTCGTTGGGACTAACCCTCCCTTCTATTAATGAAGTACAAACCCCCCTCCTACCCTCTCTGTTAGGGATTCCTTGATAAGTAGGCAGAGTCTAACGATAAGCGTATGTATAAGGTGTCCCTATAGTATATGATGGATACTGTACACGACTCAAAGCATGGGAGAAGGAAGTGTGCGCCTCTCCTACGGGGAGTGTGCTAGTAATAAGGATGCACCCCCTGAGTCGCATCTATGCTTGGCTGGTGGCCTGATTACTCTTCGAGATCTCAGGCGTCCGTTCCCCCGATGTTTAGCCGAATCCGTAACACTCTCGGGCTACGAGCTTTTCTCTTTCTCTAAATTACGACCCTCCTTAAACGGCGGTCCTACTATTACCGTTATTATAGCCCTCCCACCACGAAATTAGAGTCCTCTCACTTCCACCACTACTATAGGCCGGCTAAGCCAGTAGGAACTCACGGCGGACGAACTACTACTTACTCATACTAAAGCTGGCGGTTACTAGGAGTATATTGTAACAGAACACTTCAGGGTTCGGCGTGCACGTGCAACAACGCACAGAGGCCTGTCCGGCAGGTCGGAAATCGAGAACGCCTTTCTGGTTGACGCTGGTAAGACAACAAGACAACACCACCACCAACACCACCCAGAGAGGCAGCGGCTAGGGCAAGGAGCGCCTAGCACGGCGGTGGCATCGAGGAGATGGAACAGGACTGATAAAACACTTAGGAATAAGGTAGACGGCATCAAAAAACCATGGAATTCTCTTTTTTTTTTTTTTTGATACTCTGTCAACCTGTAAAAGAATGGCACTCTGCCAGCACTGTAAACTGTTCCGCACCCCCCTCTCTGCCAGCCCATTTTGCTTTGACATGTGACCAGACAACTTTCCACCCTGCCACCGCTCTACCAGCCCAGCACAGTCCATCACAGCACAGCCACCTTGCCTTGTTACAATATAATTACGTGATTTAAGTTACGTAGTCTACCTAAGTTCATAAATAGTATATACTGTAACAAGGCAAGGTGGCTGTGCTGTGATGGGCTGTGCTGGGCTGGTAGAGCGGTGGCAAGGTGAAAAAGTTGTCTAGTCACATGTCAAACCTAAATGGGCTGGCAGAGAGGAGGTGCGGAACAGTTTACAGTGCTGGCAGTGTGCCATTCATTTTTTACAGATTGAGCAGAGTATTATGAATTCCATGGCTTTTG